AAGACCATGACAGTGCTGGCTACAGAAAAGACCAGACTTCTGTGCCATTCATCTGCTGCTGCAGGAGGTCAGTAGTGTGTTTTCCTGAGAAGTAGACCAGTTGGCATCTCACTGCAGAGTGCTGTTTCACAAATGCTGGAGCATCCAGAATTTAGCCTGTGTGATGTTTGGATGCTTTTGTTCCTCTTGTACTCGGTGTTATATCTTTAGTCAGCTGATGATACAACAATTCTGAGCTTAAACACATGTTTTAAGTGTTATACTCTTACGAAAAATACCATGGAGAAGCTGATGGAAGGACTGTGGAGTATAGCATGAAACTACTAAGGATTCAGGAGCAAACCAAGTCTCTGCTTCTTAGGGTTTTGCAAGTCAAATGTTTCTAAAAAGCTTTACTGCTAAGCTTGGAGTAGTAGCAGAAAGTCAGAGAATATGTGATTCAGCCAGGGATTGGTGCTTAATCCCAAAGCTACAAGGCAAACTGTTTGAATACCATCTGTCAGAATATTGGAAACACACTGGTGTCTTGTTGCTGCCAAACCCAGACCTGGCAGTGGTCCTTTTTAAGGTGGTGGTGAGAGATGAAAATCTCATGTAGTGTTTCCTGGTCTGAGAGTTGATTCTTAGAATTTTATGTCTGAGGACACATAACACCTCACAGCCAAAAAGGAACATGTGAGATGATGGGCAGCAGTTGCTGTGGACACTCGAAAGCCAGCTAGTTAACAAGAACTCCAGCCAGGTACAGCTTCAGGTTTCATATGCAAGTCATTGTTCAGAATGAGAGATTTTTGTCTGCTGGACCACAATAAATATACTTCACTGTAATACACTGCACAGTATTGAGGGCACAACCCTAGTAATTGGAGTGAAAATCTAGAGCTTTTGCTACTGTAGCAGTTTCTCCTTGATTGTCGCAGTGCAGGTGTTGGGAGTTGCTGAAATGGGAGAACATAGAACAGAAGGATCAAAACTCAATTTGTATGGGTAAATGCTTCCTGTTGCATTTCTTGCTGAATGGAGAATTGTGATTTTTTTTCTCTTGCAGACAGCAGAGTGATGATGACTTGATACTTATTAATTGATGACTGCACATTGAAATTCACCACTAATAAATGCAAAGAGACCCTAGTGGTACGGAGAAGAATAATTCTCCAAATTGCAATGAAACCCACCATCTGGACCTGCCTCATGAACAGACTAGTCTTACCTAATTAAAGGTTTTTGGGGAAAAAAGATATTAATGTGACATCACTGGCTAACCATCAAGAGAGCCCAGAAGCTGTGTCTGGAGGAGAGCTGTGAAGAACTCTGTATTCTTGCTTCAAGTTCTGTCACATTAAAGAAGACTTATTCTTGAGCATTGTCTATGGGAGCTCTGTTTGCTAATCAGCTCTAGGAGGAAGGAAAGTGGCCCTGAATGAACTGTTGTTGTTAATAAGGAAAAGAATTATATGAAAATAATTTTTATAAAATAATTCTGTGTTAAAAAGTATTAAATAAAAGGTAACCAAGAAAAGAGGAGTTTTTCACTTGAAGTGATGCATTTGTACTTGGCACATTTCACTTATTTGAAATAAATTTCTGTAAAACTAAAAAGCTGCACAAAAATGCAAAATAATTGCGGTTCTCCCTCTTGTATATCATTTTAACACAAACCACTTATAGGTCACAGTGTGTTCTTTAATAGCTTTACTAAAAAGCAGTTTGTTATCCTTTTTTTGGCTGTCTCTTCTATTATACCCACAATATTTGATTTGTACTGTGTCTGGATTAAACTTACTGCTTTAGCACTTCCAGTATAGTAGTGCATAGGTATTAGCCAAGTACTTCTGGGAACTTTCAGGGGTGCTGAATGCCCCTGGGTTTGTGGACTGTCATATTAGGTACTTCACTTTGTCCACTATCCACTCCCTAAAAATACTCTTTGGTAGATGATGTCAGTGTGTTGGCTAGGACTTGGTCTTGCTATGTGTTCTTTACCGCTGATGGTCTCTACGAGTTCTGGCTTGTTGGAGTTTCGAATGGCAAAGGCAATTCAAAACACTAATGAGTGAGGTGAGTGGCAGCTTTTTTCTTTCCCTGTTTGTTTTGTTTTGTTTGTTTATTTTTAAATCTCCTGCCTTGTGCTTACCTTCCTAACAATAAAGTTTTTTTTGTTGAAAGTGAATGCCATTTTGCCTTGCTTAGGCTGCAGCTAGGTGTCTAGAACAGGTGTTTTTCATGGCAGTATTTTGATGCATCCAGGCTCTACAAATTTCAATACTTCTCTTGCTGAAATGTCTTTGGGACAGAATCTTCTCCCCATCCCAGTCTGAGCAATGCATTGCAGTGGCCTCATCTGTTACTAGAGCCTGTGGCTATAAACGAAATTCTTACCAATAATCAAGACTGTGCTGTTAGCAGAGATTTTCTGTAATTTGTCTTTTCGTCAAACTGATGCTAATTGCATGATCTAGAACAGAGGATTACTGTCTTTCACTCAGGACAGAAGAGTCAACTTTTCTCCTGGTGTTCATCTGCAGAACTTGTTTGGGTCAATGTTAGCCTTCTAGTGTGTGCTCTGGGGCCCTGGGTAACCCAAGTGCTCTTCTGCTGACTTCAGAATGATCAGCATTAACTGATTGCCAGCAGTTTTGTGTCCCATACAATGTGCAATCTTTACTTTGTTGTGTGTAAGATGTTGGTGTTTTCTGAATTTGCTGGTATTTTACTGATAGTTTTCTGGAATGTCTCTAAATCATACAGTTCCAGCACATCTGAAAATGAATTGTATTTTCCTTACTGCTCTGTCATCTGCCAGTACTTAGAGAATTCTTAGGTGAGAAACGTGAATTTAGAAAATGCAGATATTAATGCTCTGTATGTGGATAATTAGTTATATAAGGTATGAAGCGTAACAGGCTCATGGTCCCCTGAGGCCTTGTGCCTCTCTTCCCTAAAGCAGGTGAGGTACATCCTGTACCCTTGGTGTGGCTCCTCGCTCAAGCTCCAACTCCAACTGTCTCTTTCCAATTTTAGTAGGACATTGAATGCGACCTGCCAAAGCCATTGCTCAGATAAATACTTGTTTGTGAGAGAATCCTCAGGGAATGAGGAAAAGTGTTATCAACATAGATTATAATAACGTACTTGTAGAGAGTACTTACAATTTCTAACTCATTTGAAGACTTAATTTCTGTAATGGAATCATAAAGCTTTCTTGTCCAGTATTGATTTTTTTATTGTTTAAAGCATATGAGCTGCTTGCTAGCTAGACTGCTGCTTCAGCCCTACCATATTAGAGCAGGTCACTAATGTGTTGTAGAAACAGAAAACTAATGGCACAGAAACTAATGTGTTGTCTTCACCATCTGGTGTTCTGGTTTTTTTTCCTCTTGGAAAAGAAAGATAAGAGCCACTTGCTGGAGGTTTTTACAGGCTCTCTATTCCACAGAGATTAAATTTAATGGCATATGTTGACTCTTAATCCTGCACATTAATACAGGTTTGAACACAGTTGCTGAATGATAGGTGGTTTCACTCCAGCTGCTAAGGAGGTGATGCAAAGTAATGGAAGCAGAACTGGAACATAAACTTTTGCAAACTGGTCTGAAGAAAAATCTGTTGCTTTCCATTGTCTTGCTCTCTGGGAATAAGAAGCTTTGCTAATTGCTTATAGGACTTTACCAAAGGAGGAGAGAAATGGATGAGAGAGTGAGAAGGCTGCATTAGGAAGAAACAGGCAGGAAGGAAGAAAATTTCCTAAGCCATCTTCAAGGTGAGCATTCAAGTGAGGGGGACAAGGTGAGTAAGAGTTTGGGTTCTTATTTTGGGGTTTTTCTTTTTTTGGATAAAACAGAAAAGGTGCTGGAATGGAGTCTGTTTGGCATTTCATATGTAATGTTCATGTGCAAGGCTGTACCTAGGCTTTAACTCTGTCTATGTTTCATGCTGTAATTGTTACCAGGATTTCTGAGAAGTGGGGCAGAGACATTCTGCTGATATTTTCTTTTGTCAGTTCTCCAGCTCTGAGCAGGCACATGTGTAGCTCGGCACTACTTGGATATATGTCTGCTCTCAGTAAATGATTCAGGTAGGTGACAGTGGGTCAGATCCATCTGATCACAGTCCTCAGATAAATTTGGTCTTGTAATACCTTCTGTGTTTGAGTTTGACTTGTCCTTCATTGCAGAGCTGTGTGTGCCCCTTGGAGGTGACATGAGCCTCAAGGTTTCTGTATCGCTGTGTTGGGCGTGAGGTAGTTCTTGTTTGCTTTCTACTCTACGTTTAAAAGAACAGCTACATGTGATGCCGTCTGTACTGTCCAGATCTACTCGCAGAAGTTATTGCAATTTTATCTGTCTTGCTTTTGTTTCCTAATGCGTGAACGATGATGGATCTTCTGATGGGCTTTTCGCGCAGCTCAGCTCTTTAGGTTTGTGCAGCTCCCGGTCTCGCTCGTGTGCCCCGGGGCTGCCCGCGCCTCGGGCAGAGCCAGACCTCCTCACCGGGGAGGAACAAGCGCATGGGAGAGCTTTCCTGCTCAGCTCGGCGCAGCCCCGGGGCAGATGCGGAGCGAGCGGGTGGCGCCGGGGCGGGCAGGGCCGGACGGGTTAAGGCGGCGCGGGGCGGGACGGGGCGCGGAGCGGGGCGGGCGGGCCCGCTGTGCGCGGAGGCGGCGGTGCTGCTCCGCTCCGCTCCGCACCGGGGCTGCCGGTGAGTGGGGCCGCGGGGGTGGGCGCGGGCTGAGCCCCTCAGCAGCGGGGCCGGGGCGGCCGCCGCTCGGCGAAGGGGTCAGCGGTGGGAACACCGCTGTCGGGGGCCGGGCGAGCTCCGTGAGGACGAGCCGCTCCCCCAGTAATCGGGCAGGCAAAACTTTCTGCAGTTCTGTAAAACTCGCGCGGTGCCGAGGAGCGGAGCGGGGAGCGCTCGGCCGCCCCCGCGGCGGGGCCGGAGCCGGAGCCCGGCGGGGCAGAGCCCGGGGAGCGCCGGTGCTGCCGCTCTGCCCCGGCGCGGTGCATGCGAACGTGTGTGTGCATGTACAAAAACAGAGGTGCTTCCTGGATGTATACACGTGAGCTTCCATACATCTGAGATTCCCGTTTGCACACCTCTGGATGCGCGTGTGCCGTGCCCTGCTGGGGCGCGGGCAGCTGGTACGTACCGCGGGGGGCTGGCACAGGCTCTTCTCGGAGGTGGTTTTTTTAATAAGGCTTCCTAATCTATGCAATACACCGAAAAAATACACTGCCGTTATTTAGCACTATATCTTTCGATTAATTCTTTCCCTTAACGAAAAAGGTCGGGGGGTGAGGGGAGTGAAGGAAGCACTTCTGTAGACTTGTGTTTTCAGAGGCCATGGATTTAGGTCTGTTTTCCCTTCTGTGATATGAACCTAGAAAGACATTTCTTCGTAGAGATTGGTAAGGTGCATTGCTGTAGCTTTGTTCTTTAAGCTGTGCTGAGTATATGGCTTCTTAGATGTCCTTATGATCTTCTAAGAGGTGCAGTAGAAAGTACAACTCAAATCCAGTTATGTGGTGAAAAATCTGATTTCACTAAGCTTATCTGTCTACTGAAAATAAAAGTAAAAGCAAATAAACAAATTGAACAATCCCACAAAAAATCTGCACAATCAGTAAAGAAGCAGCAGCTCTTAGCAGTAAGTAAACCTGAAAAATGTATTTAGCTTTTTTCCCAGAATGCTAGATGAAAGTTTCAAACAAATTAGACTGGCTGTGTTCTTATCCTCCGGTACTACACTGATCATTAACCATTTCAGAACATTCTCCAGCATAGTCTTTATGCTATCAGATAATGAAATAAAATCTCCGATGTATAAGATATGACACTGTAGAGAATGTATTTCTCTTGTGTATTAGTGTTAAAGATTGACGTATCTGCATTCTGCTATTATACCATTAGGTTCATTTCCATGTCTCCAACAAATATTTTTTTGACTTTGCCATTTCTACCAGTTCCACTGACATGTTAGCTGGCAAACCCAGGCCCTGAATCTGTTAACAGATCAGATGCAATCAGGTGACTTGTTTTAATCAGCAGTTGTGTAATTCAGTTCCTCACGAGCTATGTGCTGAAAATAAACAGTAAAAGTTGACTTGGTTGGGACTGTGCTGAAAGTCTGTGACCTACAGTCACATTCTGTAGGTTTTGTGAAAGAAAGCTGATTTGTTGAATGGTAAAATGGAGCTAATAGCGATCAATGAGTGGACCTGGAAATTCTGCAGAAATGGGAAACTAGAAGCAGAACAGGTATTTTCTTCTAGGCATGTTTCACAATGTATAGGTTGTTCGAGTGACTTTTAAATATTTTAAATGCTGTGTCTGTTTCCGCATTATAGGATGACCTGCCAGCTCCTTCCAGAACCACACTTAAAGGAGACTAAATGAAGGCTTTGCAATGAAGTTTTTAGTTTGAACTCCATATATAGATTTAGTAAACCATAATTTCAGAAAGTCTTAAATTACCAAAGTCTGAAGTCTAAACTTGTGGTTGCTAGTGAGTTACTTGCTATCTGTCCCTAACAACTTTCTGCAGTGGATCAGAGCTTCCAAAAGTAATTTAGTGTGGTAGAGCAGCTTAGTACTAAAGGGATTTCAGCAGCTGGGGCCCGGGGTTTGTAATACCTTGGTGGAGGTGCCCCTGTATCTGCATACTTCACAGTTCAGCTGTCAGTGTCAGTCCGTAGCAGTTTGCAGAGGAGCAGCACTGTCGCATACATGCACAGGGTGACACTTCTGTGCCCTGACAGTGATTTTTAAGCCTCTTATCAGACTGTGTGTACAGAGCACTGTGGTCTGTGGCTGGCGGTACTACTTCCTCTGTCTCCAAGTTTAAATATTTAGTCTTGAGATTCTATATTTTTGGTAGGTTTAATACTTTTCTTAAGACTCTTTTTTTGTACCCTATAGCATTGGTATTTTATGCAGGACGCATGATAAATAAAAAAAACCCTTAAATGTCTCCATCACTGAGATCTAAGAGTTGCCAAAGAATCATCTTGATTCCCTTTAACCCACCCCCTTCCTAGTCCAGAAGATGACACCATTAAAATGGACTCTTACTGGAAATATCTGGAACCATGCTGTAAGTATAAGTGGTGCTGTACTTTCCATCAAGGCTTAGAGAGAAAATGGATGGGGTGCTTTGCTCTCCTTATTCAAAAAGGTATTGAAGACCAAGGTAATGAGGTAATGCTGCTTGGGAGTGCTTGATTTGAGTTCAGGCAGTTATCTGAAATTTGGGATACTTAAGTTAAAATATATATATATATATATATACACACACACACATATATATATATATGTACACCCCCAACCAAAACGGCAAGTAGATTTGCTTAGTAATAAGTAAGTTCTCTGGATGAAAACTTACGCATTGAGCCTTATAGTTTTTTAACATTAATTTTTTTTCCTCCCAATTTTTAAAGCTGAATTTTAAAAATGTTTTTTAGAAAGTATATTCTCAGGTCCTTGAAGTGTACCATGTAGCATGCTGCTTCAAGTATAGGCAGTGCTTGCAGAATTTCTGTAATAAACAAAATGTAAAACAGTTACTTCTGAGATAACTTGTCTCTGTAAAACCTGTTAAATGAATGTTGGTTTCCATTGCATCCTCTAATAGTACCAGATAAAAAAAAGTTTTAGTTTAGATGGAGATATTTCTGCAGAACTTTGTGTTCCCTATGTTCTTCTTTTCAGTTTGTTTCTCTAAATTGATTTTGGTTATATTATCAATTAACTATTTAAGACAATTAAAAGTGAACCAGAATACTTACTTCACAAAAACTCCTCCTCACAGTTACATATTAACATTTTTGGCCTCAGCTGTGTTACACACCCTTTTCTGCACTGGTATTTCTTTCTAAGCTGAGGTGACCTGAATGGGTTTCTTGGGTTACTGTGCAATCACTTGGCTGTGTTTTCCTCTGTGGCCATACATGTACTCAGGGTGTGGAGGGGAACAAGGAACCCATTCCCTTTCTGAACTAGTACTATTTGTATATATAGCTTTGGCTGCCCAGCACTCTGACTTCCCTCTGCCTCTGCCTTCGTCTTGGGAATGAGGTGAGAGAGAGCTTTTCAGTAATGAGAAAAATACAAGCAGCACGGGTGGTTTATCCATAAGAAGAGGATGGGACAGAGGGTGTTCGTGTCTGACTTTGGCACAGGGTGCAGGCAATCAAGTCCAGTGCTGCAGGGAGCCCATGGCAGGGGCTGCACAGGCAGCAAGCCTCCAGGCACTCCTTTTGTGCTGCTGTGTCAAGGGCCATCTGCTGCTTGTAGGATGTTTAAAAAGCCTAAGCAGTATGCGCAGTTGCTGCTGCTTGATATTTCTCTGCAGTAACAGCTTGAATGCAAAGTGACTCTGTTTGTTCTGCCGCATATGCCTGTGATCAGCCAGCGTGTTAAACTCAGCTTTCCGAAGAGCAACTTTTCTAGTAAGTTTCAAAATCTCAGAGAGATCTGCATTTAATACCTTGTCCTTCTATTAGAGAAGGGGAGGCAGGGAGGAGAACTGCTCAGGCAGAGCTGGCAGCCTGCCTGCTTTGCAGGCTGAGCCTGGGCACAGCTTGCTCCTCTGCCCTGTCCCACGGACCTGCCCGGACTGTACTGGCTTTGTGATCTCTCCTGTTCCAGAGTGTATCATTTTGGATACTGAGCTGCCCTGAAATTCTGCACAGAAATTCCTGTGCTGGGTCAGGAGAACCAGCAGTAAACCAGGCTGGGGTTCTGCCTGGGCAAACATCCCTCCCTCTGGCCTAAGCTAACTTTCAGCCCTGCTGGAGGGCTTCACTGCTATTGTCCTCCTGTAGGTTCAGTCTTGCTCTATGGAGTTTTCAGTCCATCTGCAAACTCAGCTTGAATCCTCTCACAGTAGCTTTCTGTGCCAACCCAGGCCTGTCTGTTCCCTTCCTCATTTATACAGGAACAGGGCAGAAGCCATCAAAGTCCCCCAAACTGACGCCAACCCTTCAATAAAGTTGTGGCCAATATATTGAAACAACTTGGTTTTTAATGGACAGGAAAGAGGCAGAAAACCACAGGGGTGTGCCATGAATCACATTATGGCTTGCAGGCTAAATTTTATAATGACCTTCTCATTAAAATGCTATTTGTGTTTTCCTTCAGAAATGTCTGGATTAATAATGAGTAACTCAACTTAGAGTTGATTTACAGGCCAGATTTAATTTTGAATCAAAGTGATTAAAAAGGTAATTTTAATCACAGTTTGGATCAGTAAAATCCTTGACTTAAATAACTGATATTAAATTTTATTCTAAGTATACAGGTTTTTAGTAACTTTATTGAAGCAAACTAGATCCTAATTGAATAACAACCATTAAAATATATTAGCTTGCAACTAGCTGAACCTTTTGTCCAAAGCATTATTTAGGTGATATTTTATTTCACAAACTCTTTACTTAGACAGCTAGTGTAATATATTCCTACATGTTCATGCAAATTCTTGACTTTAAGAATGGTGAAGAATGTATTCTGACTTGATATGAGTTACACTTACATAGAGGAATTTAAAATCAATTAAAACATTCAAGCTGTCATTAAGACAAACAGCTCAAGATGTTATGGGTTAGGAAGAATTCTTAATGCATGCTTTTGCATTTGAAAGCAGTTTAACTGAAATCTCAAATCCTTTGAGATTTTTTGGAACAAAAGACTTTTTCCCCCCTCAAAAAAACAAACAAAAAAAGCTTGAATGTTTACTCAGTGGCAGAGGAAGACACACTTTACAGTCCATCAGTTTCTGATCTTTGTAGCCACTATGGGTGGAACTGAAGTAATTAAATAGATTGAAATAAAGAATCTTTTAGACAAGGGTATGCTTTTGCACTTGCAAAGGTTTGATGTATTTGCCTGCAAGTGACTTATGGCAAGCTATTAGTTCATCTCATCTGTAGAATATGCACCATGTGATTACTGCTGGAGGTCTATATGGTGGGATATGAAACACTGAGTGGTATGGAAGAGGTGAATGGAGATTGTTTGCTGTCCTTTCCCATAAAAACCCAAGAACTATTAAGCTCATGAGAACCAATTTCAAAACAAAAGAAGGCAGTTCTTCATAAAGTAAGTAGCAGACTGAGAAGCTCTCTGCTGCAGACTCTAGGAGACTCTTTTGCCTTTATAAGTCTAGACCGACAAGTTTAGCTGTTTTTCAGCTAACATTGAACAGCATTTTGCCTGATACTCAAATTTTTGTGTACTAAATAAATAGATCTGAAATATGTAATATTTAAGGGTCCTTTTTTTTTTTTCTTCTGAAGTTTAAACCTGTTCTGACAAACATCTCTATTTTGCTGCAGAAGAGAAGACCTGGAGAAGAAAGTGCTGCAAGGACATGTGACATGCCAAGAAATATGGGATATCCTATCACTCATCTTATGCCTGGTGTGGACTTGGGCAGGACCACTAAGGATTCAGCTGCATAGCTCTGTCATGGCTGCACAGCTCCCTTGAGACCAGGCTAATTCTGCTGGAAGGAGTTAAAATGAAGGTGTGAAGTAAACCACTGTCTGCAAGGCCCCTGGCCTTATAAGTACTTTCTGTGCCCATGCTGGTACAGACAGCCAAGGGCTGCTTTTCTGCTCAGAAAGACTGGGATGTAAATGAGCTCCAGCTGCTGTTTTGATGTAGCTTCCATGTGGAAATCTCCGCGGACTGCCCTGTGACCCTGAGACCTCAGCTGGATGCTTCTCTACTCCTTCTTGCCTTACCTCAACACCTTAAGAGATCTCTTTCGAAATCATTTGTCATTTGAGCTCTGCTGTGTGACAGTGAGTGTGTGTAGTGTGGTTATTTTGGTGAAGAATTATGGATGTATAAATATTTTTTTTCTTTGGGTACTACTTCAATTGAGGATGAGGTCTCAGTAAGCTGAAGTATTTAGAATAAGTTTGTAGTTGATATTTTGGATTTCTTTAAGCTTTTCTCCAGATGAGATACAAAAGGCATCTGCAGACTTCTTTACTCTCCTGTCACTGCAAGCAAGAGATTCACCTGTTGAGATGATTACACAGTAAGATACAACATGTTCAGAAAACCCTCCCTATAATTTTCACAGGTTTTTGTTTGGTTGGTTTTTTTTTTTACCCTGCCATTCTTGCCCAAAATGCTGCTTCTATTTGCAGGCATTTGGGCTGTTCTGTAAAAGCTTCATGTCAAGCTCAGCAAGTCCTCTGCTGCCTTGGTGGGTTAGAGCAGAGCCATCCTGGCTGGCAGCGTTCCCAGCTCTCTGCTGCTTCAGTAGCTGTTGCCTGCAGCTCCTTAGGGGCTTCTGGTCACTTACAGACTGAATTTGACTTCTGAGTACTTCCTAGGTGAGAATGGGGAATGTACTGACTGCTTAACTCTCCCATATTGCCCTGAACAGGGAGCAGTAGGCGTTGAATTCCAGTTGACTATTGCAGTGGATCCGCATTGCTGAGGCTTTTTTATTTTTAGATGGAGGGATGCTCTGTAATATTTCAGCAAAAGCGATGATTTACTTGTTTCCTTCCACTTCTTGTCCTTAAGTAATTGTTTTTAGTTTGACTATACTTAAATTTTATGCTTTAAGTAATATATTCCTTCATTTAAAAGTGGCTGGCTAGGTTCTTGAGGATAATGGGCAACAGTGACAAGTGGCCTGCTTTCATGTTAACTACTAGGGTGGGAATCAAGAAAAATCAAGAAAAAAAAGGCTGAGCTATTTCAGAAAAATTAAATATTAAATAAAATATCACTTTGCTGAAAGTATTAATTATGGAATAGTGTAATTTGATTTAAAATTAGGTAATATAAATATTGCATGAGAGAAATAACAAAAGATGAACCTTTTTAGCTTAAAGCTTGGAAGGAACCTTTAATATAAAATGGCATGTTACATAGCCTGCTGGAGATTGTTTAATTTCCTTCCCAGTCCCTGGAGAGATAAGATATAACTGTAAAATAACCACAGGGTAATAATAGACTAAGTGAACCTAATGTTTATCTGTCATCAGTTTTAGCTGCAGAGGTGAAAAGCTTATGCTTTTTGTATCTTTCTGCCTATAACTGCTTCTTCTAGGTTTTTTGGTGTTTTTTTTTTTTTTCCAGCCCTACTTAGCCTGTCACTCTGGCACTCATGATGGCCTGAGGCTCACAAGGAGCTTTACAAAAGCTATTAGCTTTGCTGCCTCTCCTGAAGCTTTGTGTTCCTGTACTTCCTTCTGTCTGTCTTACAGTCAGGCAGGTTTGCCACTCTGTATAATATCTAACATGATTAGGATCTTGTGCCATGGCTGCATTCCTGGGTTTTGCTAAAACTATACTGTATCTATTAATGAAGTAATTGTTAAAACCCTTATTCAGATGCTGGCAACGAATGTGAGGGCCAGTGACAATCAGACACAAACTCTGCCTACTAGGCTGTGAGACCCTGCATATGTCCAGCAACCATGAGTAATTGCTGTCAGGTCTCCTGTGTAAATTAGTCCAAGTTCAGTTTGGTTCATAATAAAGGCAGTGAAACTGCCAAGGCAGCTGACATTGACCTTGCCAGAGTAGCTAAAGTGTGATGTAATCTGGAACACAGACTCCCCTTTCCATTGCCATGTTTAATAGCCCTGTGTCCAAGATAATGCTGAGTGGGTATAAGAAATAAACTGCAGCACTACTGCTGTTTCTGGGGCTTGCTTTATCCTGTGGTTGGGTGTGGAATTGGGTTTTGGTTTTGAAGACAACTGGGCTATGTGGCGCTCACAGGGCTCTGGGTTTACAGGCCAGTAAAATAATCCCTGACTTTAGAATAGTCAAATATCTAGAATATATTTTTCCCTTTTCAGCATATTTGCTTAAATCCTCCAGTAGTAAATAATAGGCATCTGCTCAGAATATATATGCCTGTAGTATCTTATATACTTTTTTTACATTTATTAATATATAATTAAAACCCAAAAAAATATTTTTCCAGTAATAGGCCTTTTATTGCTTAGTCAGTAAAATGGAAGAGTTATGATTTATGCTTCCTTGTCCTGACTGGATACACTAAGAAATGGAAATAATGATGGGGCTGTGGCTCAAACATGGGATTTTACAGTAAGAATGACTTGGCTGTTGCTCAGATTTTCTCTGTGACCTCTAGAAAGTCACTTTTAACCTCTTAACTTCCCCTTTGTTGCCTGTACAGTATGACTGCTAGTGCAAAGGAACTGTGCTGGGGTTTTGTAAGCTGGTAAATCTTTTAAAAATTCCTTACTCATCCAAGCATCATGCACTGTGGTCCTCCATTGGGCAGAATATTTTCTTCTGCATTGGCCCTGTGCAGTTTGAATTTTTACTGAAGGCCTCAAGACATCTACCCTCTAATGTCCCTGTCACAACCCCTTGTGCCCCCAGAAAGAAGCTGTTAGGTGTAGTGATTGAAGCAAGGACTATTCCCTAATTGTTAACCCTTCTTTCTTTTTACCTTCCACACTTCCTAGGATGCAGGGGCTCTAATCCAGGATGAATGAATGCTACTATGATAAGCGCATGGACTTCTTCTATAACAAGACAAAGACGGACACAGCAGATGAGTGGACAGGGCCACAGCTCATTGTTGTTCTGTGTTTTGGGACGTTTTTCTGCCTCTTCATTTTTATTTCAAATTCATTGGTCATAGCAGCTGTGGTCAAGAACAAGAGGTTTCATTTTCCCTTTTACTATCTTTTGGCCAACTTAGCTGCTGCAGACTTCTTTGCTGGAATTGCCTATGTCTTCTTGATGTTCAACACTGGCCCAGTGTCCAAGACATTAACTGTTAACCGCTGGTTTTTGCGTCAGGGTCTCCTGGACACCAGCCTGACGGCTTCCCTGGTGAATCTCCTCGTCATAGCTGTTGAGCGGCACATGTCAATAATGCGGATGAAGATCCACAGTAACCTCACAAAGAAGAGAGTCACCTTTCTAATTATATCAATTTGGGCCATTGCTATTTTCATGGGTGCTGTTCCTACCCTGGGTTGGAACTGCCTCTGTGACATTACTGTCTGCTCATCCCTGGCACCTATTTACAGCAGAAGTTACCTGGTATTCTGGAGTGTCTTAAACCTGGTTGTCTTCTTCATTATGGTGGTGGTTTACATAAGAATCTACATGTACGTCCAGAGGAAGACTAACGTCTTGTCATCGCACACTAGTGGATCCATTAGCCGTAGGAGAACCCCTGTGAAGCTCATGAAGACTGTCATGACTGTCTTAGGTAAGAGATGACAAACCATGGTGTGGCAGGCTGGCAGTGCCAGTGGATGGGTTCGTGTTGATTTGGTTTAGCTGCCCCCCCCCTTTTTTTTTTTTTTTGAACAAACAAAAATCCCTCAGCCCTCATGACGGAAAAAACCCTCACTGAACTTTTAAGTGCTGGAGGCATTTAAACTGTTTGCTTTAGATAGTAAAATAGCTCTTCCACTAAGGAGAAACACAGGGTAGAGGACTGGTCAACACGTAGAAGAAAAGTGTCTCTCTTGTGTAGGCACCTTGTTACAAAACACTAATTGTTGTGTTGTTTGTTTTTTGGTTTTTTGAGGAGGGAGATACAAAATCACTTTGGAGGAAGGCTTCTGAGGATTCACAACTACATAGAAGAACATTTTCAAAGTTATGTTCTTTAATATTTGCACAAGGCCGTAAGCCCTAAGGTTGGATGTTGGTAGTTATCTTTGCACATCTTTATCTTGGCTGTTTCCTGAACATAGAAACTTCTTCCCCCTAGAAATGCATCTTCCTTGGGTAAAGGAGAGGATGCCTGATGGGTCTGTGACTTTGAGAGATTTACTTTGCAACGGGAAGATTCACCTTCATTCTGTGTATATTGCACAGTGTAAAATATTTTCAGATGACGCTGATACAGTATAACCTTAGATCTCTAAATTATAACATGAGATTTGACCTGGATTCTGCCCTAGAGACCCTGTTGGTACTTGAGCAACTCAGATGACTTCCTCAGCTAGTTACAATGTAGCTGTGTATTTTATTAGAGGTGGACAGAGTAGGCAACTGATTGTTGGAACAAATACCAGCTGTAGCAGTCAGTTTTCTCCAGAATGACTTGAATCTGAGCAGGATGTTTTCTGGAAACCAGGCATGACGTGAGCAGGGCTTGTGCAGCTCACTGCAGGTGGAACTGCGGGTGCACCAGGACATTTGTGAAGCTGGGCTCTGGTGGTGGGTGACTCTAAAACCACAAATATGGCTTTACTGCTCTGACAACTCTTTCTGATGTTGTATGATCAGTATAGGAAACCTGGAGCTTTTGGGAAAGCTGGTGTCCACAACTGGGACAGAATTATGTTGTACTGCAGCATGGTAGTGCTAGAGAGCTCTGGGAGAACAGTAATTTTTCATGGAGGTAGGAGTTGCCAGGGTAGGATGTTCAGGTTGAAGACACTTTCTTTCCCTTGTGGTTTTTGGATGCTGTTTGCACAGTGTGGTGTCTGATTTTATTATTTTCTTCTGAAATAATAGTGCTGTAATATACAACACCTTTGTCTACCAAATGGTGTTTTAAAATGCTATAGAAGCTGAAATCACTTAAACTGACCTTGGAAAAGAAAGTGGACTGGTGGTTCAAACAAGTACAAGGTTCTCACTTATACTTCTGTGTCTTTTGAAGTTGGCCTGTCCACTACCAGAGTCTTTCCTTTCTAAATCCCTCCACAGCTGTTCTTCCTTTTTTCCCCCCTTGATTTTATGGCATCTACAGAGAGTCAGTTTGGTGGTTGTTCCTGCCCCCTGCCCTTGACTTGCAGGGGCAAGACTGGAGTCTTTTGCCCCACTGAACCTCCCATGCAGTAAAACCTAAACCATCCACCTTGAAGGAGAAAATTTGTCAGAAAAACTCTGAATTGCTCCAAATATGATCCTACTCTAATGCATAAGCATCGAGTAGACTGTAGTTAACTGCTGCATTGGAAAGAGACAGAAAACAGCACTTTTAAAAAGCAGTTCTCTGAGCATTTCTGTTGAAGGCAGAACTGCACCCAGCCAGCTGACATGGGAGCTGGAGGGACAGGGATGGTGGCTGCTGTTTGCTCATCCCTTGTGGTCCTATAGCCTGTGGCAAGCCTTCAGTGCTCTTTGTGCTGCTGTGTGGAAATAAATCCCAGTTCAAAAGTAGTTTTCAACTTAATCTTTCTTTTATTAGGGAGTGGAGCCTTAGGACTATGAGTTGATTTGAAGTTCAGCATTAGCTTCCCCTTACTCACAGAATAAGGCTTTTCAACTACGAAATTAAACTATAATTCAGGCAAAGCATTTAATGATATTGTGTACTGGGTGAGGCAAATTTAACTTAGAAAGCCTGAGTGCTACTTTAGAGAGCATAATTTAGTAGATTTACTTTATCAGTCAGAAACAAAACCAAAAGGGAACCTTCTTCAACAAAGAAGTGGAATTAGTGCCCATGTTGCTGAGTGTACAATCTAATCCAAAATCCTGTGTCAGAGGAACTGTATCTTCGCATGTTCCTTCATATCAATTCTCCAAATTTTGACTCTGAGAGGCTTTTTACAAACATTTTTATAATCATTTGTTTCTAAGAATGAGAACTTATTTTTTTAAACAGTTTGAAATGTGCTCTCCTGTCCAGGTCATTCAAGCACAGTGTGCAAAAACCAAATAGTGTGTTTTCTGGACTTCCCAATTACCACAGGAGTCACCAAGTGACCAAAGTGATTCTTGCAGAATTCTGCTTACATCCACTGATGCAACAGCCTACAGCTATATGCAGCACGTGGGTTTTGCCCAAAGCAGTTATTTTTAATGACTTGTTCCAAAACATCTGAAAATGCTTTGGCGTACATGCCTGATACAGTCTTCACTAAAAGCCTATTCCAAAATGCTGTGCTGGATAAAGCATGATAAAACCCAACATTCTTATTCATGTGCTCTATTGGTTTTATGGGATATTCAGGACAAAATCCAGCTGCCCTACTGCTGTATGGAAGGAGGCTGTGTGTAGCTGGGTGCTGCTGGCATGCTCCTTCTCCGAGCCTCTTCCACCTCCTTCCTTGGGAAGGCTGGACTGGGCTGCCCCTCCAGCAAAACATCCCTGTCCTCTCTAGTTGTTCTCCTCCCGTGGCCCTACATTTAAGAGTTAGGGGAATTGAGATTTCCGTGTGATTTCATGAATTCATGGTGATCACAGCTGCAGGTGGCTTTTTGCACCACCCCTTAGGCTTGGATGGCCCCTTCCAGAGGCTGGGAGTCAAGTCCCTGTCATCTGCATGTTTCTGCCATAATCCCTAAAATAGTCCATTATAGCATAAGAGTAAGGCTTTCTCTTTGGCATGCTGAACCACAGGTGGTTATGTAGTTAAACTGGAAGATGTGAAACCTAGCAAAAGGGGCTAAAATGCTCTTGGGCTGACCTTGTGGCATAATCCCAGCTAAGCCTGTGACTGTAGCTTCGAAGAAGGGTGGCTGCAGGTATGCAGGTATGTGATTTTCAGGTGGTTTTGTATGTGGTAGCTCCTCTGAACCTGACAGTGAGGTTCCTGCTGAAATAGCAGCTTTGGGGTGGATGATTTTCAGTTTCAGTGAAATTATAGTTTAATTGGTAACTTGCTGTTTTAACTTGGTTGCACATGTGGCAAAGGCAGCTGGAAGCTACTGTGCTTTTTTTTTTCCTCTCAGCATTGGCATGCTCAGGGACGGCTTTGATGTGCTGGATTTTATGAAATGATGCTGTTGAAGCATCAGTAGTTCTCCCAGATCCACAGGAATTAATTTTCAAGCAGAAATTATGTAATCTACAGGAAGATCTATGGTTAAATCTAATGGAACTCCTCGAACTAACCTTGAGGCATCGTGACACCTGATCTCCCATAATCCGGTGGGAAGACTCAGAGTTGTTCTTCTAATCCATGTTGCAGCCAGGCTGTATTTCGTGTCACTTCTGTGAATTTTGAAGAGTCCCAGGAGTTAAATTATTTTTGGGGTGTGGCTCTTTTTCAGGGAGAGGAGCTCCTATGGGATAAATAGTCTGCAAACCAGAGAATCACCAAAGGGCCAAGACAAAGGTATATTTTTATGCTTAACCATGGTTCCCTCTGAAAGCTCGGTGGTAAAAATAACAAAATTTGAGCAAGGCTGTGAGTCTAAGACATGCCTTGCTTTCATCTCAGTAGTGCTAAGAGCAGGGTGTGAATCACTTGTGTTGTCTCCGTAGGCAGCAAAATGTATTTTTGGACTGAAAGCAACAGCCTCGTGAAAACATTAGCCAGTAACTTGGACACTGTCACTGCATTGCCCCTGTCCTTGTCTTCAGTCATGGGAAATATGCAGAGAGATGTCTGCAGATGTCTTATCTTCCCTTACTTTTGTAGCTGAAACCTTTTATGGTTTTGCTTATATAGACAGAGGTATATCCTAGGAGTTCATGGACTAATCCTGCCTGCAATATTGGAATTTTGTTTGAAGGAGAGATTTCTGCGTCTCTTGTTAAATGTGGCTTTTGGGGTCTCTTTCATCTCCTGGTAACTTCCATAAAAGCAGGGTTGGACCTTGCATGCTTTGTGGTACGAGTGGTCAAAATGCTTTCAGTGCCTGTTTTAAGGCAGGTTTGTTACCATCTCAATTTCTGCGTGGAGCTGGCGTATCGGCAGCTCTGCCAGTGACCCTTGGTAGCTAGTGAAAGCTTTATGTCCAAATACTTGCCAAGACACTTAACTGGGCACAGTATTGTCTGGGTGGTTGGATTCCAGTGCTTGTTAAACCTGATGGGATTTGCTGGTGAAGCCCAGGGCAATAAATCAGTGCAGTGTTTTCTCCATTGTAAACTGTGAGAGAGCTGGTGTCACAGCTGCTTACTCAGCACACAGGAGCCAAACCAGTGTGTAGTACAGAGACTGACCAGGGAAAACAAGTGTTGTGGTAGCAGCATTCAGCTCCCCATGCCAGTGGGCAATGGAGGAATGTTACTGATGTTAACCAGTATCTCAAAACTAACACTATGAAATTAGTGCTTAGCATCACAAAAATCTTGGAACAGCAGAGTAGAAAATTCAGTTTCTGAAGAAAGTGGTCTCTTGCCTTTCTGTTCAGTATTGCCTAGAACAGAGTAAATCGGTTGGTTGAGTTTTGTCTGGAGTCCAGGAGCACAGATTGGCAGCAAAATCCACGATACCCTGTCCTGGATACATTTTTCAGCAATCCTAATGCTTACTAAGTCACACAAATTCACTTTATATACCATTATGATCTGCCCATCAGATGGGCAGTCTGTTCAAGTCCTCGATGGGGAGAAGTGTGCAGTGCTGCTGACACTGGCCTGTGTGTGCAGCGCAGCTGATGGGTTGGCTGAGATGCTGCCGAGTACTGGCTCTGGCACTGCTTGGATCCTGCTGTAATCCAGGCTGCCCTCCCAATGCTTGCTTGCACAGCTGAGATATGGGAATATCAGCGGCTTTAAAAAAAATGAAGTGGGTTTGCTTGACCTACCAAAATTGTTGAACAGATACCCACACCCACAAGAAGAGCTTTTTAGTGTGTAGCTGCTATCATACTTATTTGTTGGATTATTTTCTTCTAAGCCCCAAAATGGGGAAACTGCTGTGATAAGTGATTGGAATTTCCTCAGTACATTGTTCAAACTGTGACTGTTGGGCAGAGTTGTAATTTTCTATTTCTGTATGTCAGACAGCAATTGTGGCTTGTGCTAAGTTAGTATTATCATGCATATGGCTACTCATTCCCTGGACTGTGGGTGAGGGATCATGGGGTGCAGTGCAGGGGGGAGACCAGGGGGCAGATGGGGCAGTCCAGGGCCCCTCTCCAACTCGTGGCCAATGGCTGCATTTGGTAGCCATGTGCCCCCTCCCCACCCGTCCTGCCCACACCCCTGTACTTATGGCGGTGGTGTGCAGGAACATGGGAAGATGCAAATACAGTATAGAACTTCCTTCTAAGCTGTGGGTTTTATGCTTTCTTCATGTTATCTTCCGTCAAGATCTCTTCTCCCTTCTTTCTCCATTTTTTTTCTTTTTTTTTTTTTTTTTGAGGGGCTGCTGGGAGAGGAGTGTGTTGTCCTGCTTTGTCTTCCAGCTTTTATTATTACATTGTTCCTTGCAGGGGCTGTTGTCATTCCTGCCTTGCAGCTGAAACACAAGATCTCTGCTCCTCCTGGGCTTGTCCTGCAGTTTCTTGCTATGTTTTGGGGAAATACCTCTATTGCAGAGTTTTCTTCTTTCCCCACCACTGTATACTTACTTCCTCATCCTTTTTGTGTTTGGTTCCTCCCCCTCACCCCCTTCATTTCTGTGCTGTAACTGCTACATCCTTTAGTTCACCTTTGCTAACTCATCTATTTGCTTTCTTCTCTTTTTTCATGTGTAACTGAATTTTTTTCTTACATCTGAGTTGTTGAGTCTCAAGTACCCAACATGCAGAGCCTGGGAGGGGGCAGTGGAAGGAGGTGGGCTCTGTTCTGACCAGGGAGCCAGCAGTGCTTGTGTATTGCAGGCACTGGCATGCATCCTACACTAGCTGTGGGTTTCCAGCTACAGCTGTAGTGTGACAGAAGACTTGTCTCTTCGGATCATATCGTGGGTGGTGATGGAAGTGAACTACTTGGTATTTTCTCCTCCAGCACACGAGAGACATGAAGAGAGGAAGTTTGTGTTCGAGTGCAGTTCTCTGCTTGTAAATGCTCGAGCTCTTGTTTATTTATCAGCATGGATAAATCCCTGTTGTGATGACCTTTTCCCACTTGTGTTTGAGGTGATGCTGTCAGCAGCTGGGTTCTTGCTCCCTGTGGTCTTCTGAGAGCTGCCCTGCCTCCTGTCCAGGGCTTGGCAGAGGAGCTGTAGTAGATATAATTTTGCTCCTGTCATTAGAATTTTGTCCTCTCTTGCTTTTAGCATTTTTGTGTAGAATTTTGATGAACTCAATAATCTTGTAAGATGCAAAACATTCCAAACCCCTAAAAGTCTGAAGTCAGGTTTGGTTTTCTTTCTTTGTCTCCTTTATTTCTAGGTGCCTTTGTTGTCTGCTGGACGCCTGGCCTGGTCGTCTTACTGCTTGATGGTCTGAACTGTACCTACTGTGGGATTCAGAATGTTAAAAGATGGTTTCTTCTCCTGGCCCTGTTGAACTCTGTCATGAATCCAATAATTTATTCATACAAAGATGATGAGATGTGGGCTACCATGAAAAGGATGATTTTCTGCTCCTCTGAGGATAAGAGTCAGGACAGACGCTCATCTCGGATCCCCTCAACAGTTCTCTGCAGGAGCACGGATACCTCAGGTCACTACATTGAAGATGGCATTATTCAAGGAACAATCTGTGGAAAAGGAGATCTTGGTAACAAAGGAAACTCCTGAGCTATGCAAAGAGCTGACTTGGCTGCAAAAGGAGAGGGGGAAGGGAGAGGCTTTGTTAAGAGAAGATTGACTGGCAAAGCTAGTAAACAATATATCCACTTTGTTCCAGAGCCTCAACTCCAGTGTTAACAAAAGTTCTTATAAATAATTGCCTGATGGAAAAACACTTTGTAATGAAGAAAACTTTCTGTGCTGCCATCTTTCTCCTTTTTTTCTTTTAAGTACATGAAATTGTTTTTTCATGTGAACGGAATAAATACCTCTCTGAGACTTCTTGTGCATGGAAGCAAAATGTTGAGCAATGTACTAAGACCCTCCTTAAGCTCCTACGGAGAAAATAAACCTGCCTGACTGTGCAGGTTTGGCATTCATTGAGTATTTATGCTTTGAACAGTTTCTGTGCATCTTGAGAAGGATTGTAGGCTTGGTTGGACAGAATCGTGACCTGTTTTCTTGTTTTATGAAGTTCATGAAATAGTTCATGCTTACATCCTTCTTCTTCCTCCATATCTTGCTTTCAAAATAGGTACTTTGATGGTTTATTAAAGCTATGCCAGAAACCTGGCTGTGATGGGATAGCCAGACCAGACATCAGAGTGTGTGAGTATGTCTGACCGTGGATTGTCAGGATCTGAGAGTACAGAAAGCACAAAAGCCATTATTACTTCCATAGTGGGGTGAGTGCTGCAAGGGGAGACATTGCACTCTCTGCTGCTGTTGTGTAGGCAGGTGTTGAGGGTGGATTAACAGAAAAGCAGTGAGGCTCATTATGCTCATTTCTTACTTCCTCAGATAATATCAAATGGGTGTGCTCACTCTTCTTTACCTGCTGTGCCGCTGAGAGAAATGAGATCCAAAACTCTGTTTTACTAGGGTGAACTTTTAAGGGAAGTTTAAATACACATATATACAGGTTCATTCAGCTACTTAAAATAGAAATTAATTTACAGAAAAAAAAACCCTGAAACCAATTAAAACCCCTATAAGAGTACAGTATGCATTGGTTGTCAGACCTTGTCTGGACCACATTTAACCTCCAATTTGCAAACAGATCTTACTGGAACAGGTACTTGAGGAAGAGGCCATGAAACAGTGAGCAATGAAGGGCATTCAGCATTGTGACTAATCAAATCTAGCACTGGTGAAGCCACAACCTAAACAGCTGAAGTTCTGACTCATGGAGTATGCTCTAAGGGAGGATCTAGCAATATAAAGCTCTAGGGTAAACTTGTAAAATTTAAACTTTTAAATTAAAAATTGGATTGTAGATTTCTCAGTACTCTAAAAACCTGGCTCCTGCTGTCTGGTTTCAGCAGCAGTGAGCTCCCTGTCTTAATTTCAAAAGGAGTTACTTGACTTGCCTCCTAGAGAAAATGTAATCCATGGTAGTAAGGCAGGTGACCACAACCAGAGGTCACTTTGAAAAGTTTTGGAAATTTTGACCACTTGGAATTGCCAGAAAACAACACCAAAAGCGTATTGTATGAAGCTGAAAGTCAGCTGTGATTTGGACAAATTCCTCCTCTGGTGCAACTTGAATGTGGATATCTGGACTGTGTGGGTCAAAAGAGAACTGGCACTTGGGCACAAAGGCCAAGTAGTGGATTTGTAGAATGCACTGGGGGATTTCATAGCAGCCCTTAGCTTACAAACACAGCAAGGCTCTGTTTGGAGAGCTCTCCCAAAACGTGCATTATCTCATAGGGATGTGGCCCAGTATTCAAGGTAGATGCTGTATTTGAGTAATGCTAAAAACCTTTACACGTTTTTTGCCATTATAATGCAATTTTCTTGTGCAAATACTACTTCACTGCTTTGGTGTTTTGAAAAGTATGTAAAATGGTGCTTTGTAGAGGCAGTGGTGTGGTGAGTTGACTCTGGCTGGAGACCAGGTGCCCACCAAAGCTGCTCCATCACTCCTCTCTTCACTGGACAGGAGAGAGAAAATATAAAAAAAGGACAGGGGGAGATTGGTCACTAATTACAGACTTGGCTTGGGGCAAAATTAAATTATTATTAATCAGATCAGAGTAGTATAATGAGAAATAAAACCAAATCTTAAAAATACTTTCCTCCCATCCCTCCCTTCTTCCCAGGCTTACCTTTACTCCTGATCTTCACTATCTTCATCCCACAATGGTGCAGGGGGACAGAGAATGTATCAGTTCCTCAGTCTCTGCCACTTCTTCCTCCTCATGGTGAGGATTCCTCACACTCCTGCCCTGCTCCATCATGGGGCCCTTCTTACAGTTCTCCATGAACTTCTCCAACGTGAGTTCTTCCCACAGGCTGCAGTTCTTCACAAACCGCTCCAGTGTGGCTCCCTACCATGGGATGCAGTCTTTCAGAACAGGCTGTTCCAGTGTAAGTTCCCTGTGGGATCACAAGTCCTGACATCAAACCTGCTCCAGCATGGGCTTTCCATGTGATCACAGCCTCCTCTGGGCATTCCCCTGCTCCAGCATGGGCTCCTCCACAGGCTGTAGGTAGCTATCTGCTCCACCATGGCCTCCACGTCAGGGGCACGGCTGTCTCACCATAGTTTGCACCACAGGCTCCAGGGCAATCTCTGCTCTGGTGTGTGGAGCACCTTCTCTGCCTCCTTCCTCACTGACCTTGGTGTTGACACTGTGGTTTCTCTCCTCTCTTCAGCTGCTGTTGCACAAGTTTTTTTCACCTGTCTTAAATACGTTATCCCAAAGGTGCTTCCACTGCTGCTGTTGGACTCAGCTTTGGCCAGTGGTGGGTCTGTCTTGGAGCTGGCTGGCATTGGCTCTGTCAGGAATAGGGGAAGCTTCTACTGTCTTCTCACAAAAGCCACCACTGTAGCCCTCTCTGCTACCAAAAGCTTGCCATGCAAACCCAACACAGGTGGCATTGCCAGGGTGTAGCATGTCCCTACAGCTACCTGCAGTGTACAGTTTGTCTTAGCTAGGCTGAAGCTCTGTATGCAAAGCTAATGGAAAATAAAATGCTGCTTCAAAATAAAATTCTTGTTTTGTTTCCTGTTTGAATGATGATTGAACACCATTGATGGGGAAATGTTGTTTCATGTTACTATGGGGCAGGGGTAGGAGTGGGGGATGTTTCAATAAAATTTTCATGTTTACTAGCAATACTAAGCAGTGTATAATTTGGTTGAATCAGGCCCGGAAGAGAGCTTGGATGAAGATCTTGAACATCTGCAGCAGTAAACACTAGGTCTCTCCTGCAGAGCTTGGGATTCAGACTGCACAATAACTACATGTGGATGATTTTTCCAGGTAAGCAGGAAAAGGTGACTTCTGTAAAGAACCTTATTTGTAGAGCACTTCATGCAGTAGACTCCTGGTCTGGATTAAAGTCTGAGAGGTATTACCAATCATTCTGCTATAAGTAACTGGGAGGGTTTGAGGTCTCTTTCTCTTGTCTCATTAAAAAAAAAAAAGCCCAACAAACAAACAAAAAAAATCAATCAAAAAACCCCCTCCGAAAGTCCCAACAAAACAAACCCCAAAAGTTTGCAAACTGGTGCTTGGAGAATGGTACCATTTGCAGTGGCATGCCCTTTGTTTCTGCAGGAGCTGCTACCTTATGGTCTACTGCTATAAATTGCAGTGTGACATGACTGGAACAGGAAACTGATCTTGCATCAAACTTTCCTACGAACTGCTACAGCACAGACTGTCTAATGTTTCCTATATCAAACTGTCTAAACGTTCACCTACTCACATAGCGGGGAATTCCTTATTAACTCCATAAACATTTATCAGAATAGTTTGTCTCAAGGAAACCATTAAAGTACTATTTATACTTGAGTTAAAAAAAATAGCAAACGTCAATTGGCGAAAGCAAGTTCTGTAGGGTTTCCCTGTTCCTTTTTTCACTAATATCCCATAATATCAGTATCTTCTGGCTTTGCATGTGCCTGATCCTATTTATATATGTCAGTGTACATCATACTGGGGAAGACTTTAGGGTGAACACTCACAGAAATCCGAGGATGTTAGGAGGCAGAGGAAGGCAAGGGAAGAGTTACCATTAAGTTAGATAGTTACAAGGTTTTGTGTGTTCCTGCTGATGCTGGAGGCCTTTCTCGTGCCTGAGAGAGCCTTGTGAGCTGCTGCATTGCAGCAAATAGCAGGCAGATGCTTCTAAGACAACATCTTCATAGCAATTATGGTTTGAAAACCTTTGTGATATTCTCCTGTTTTTTTCTCTCTCCATCTGCTCCCAAACCAAAGTTGCTTTTCCAGTTGATCATTTGGTCCAGGAAGAAACGCTCCACAGCTTTTCCCAGGGCAAAGATGTATGGTCTGTCCTCTGTGGTTTGCTCTCCCATAAAGCCTGTGTGGTCACAATCATTGCAGATGCTTTTCAGAGAACTATTATTAAAAGCTGGGAACAATGAGGTTTTATTTTACATGATAGATCTTTTGAATCTTTCTGGATAAGCAGCTAGACTGATCATTGTTTAATAGCTGTGTGCGTGGGAGAGAAGTTTCCCTAATATCTGTGCTGTCAGTTTGACCTGGGTGGTGTGGGTGATGAGTCCCTCTGGGAGAGCAGCCAAATTGCTACAGCTTAAGTGACTCTAGACCATGGGTTTTGCATTGCTTTGGGGCTGCTTTACTTTCCCTATGTATGGGGTTTTTTATGAGTTTGGGGTTTTTTTCGTAATTCCAGCAGACTGGTGCAATACATCAGTATTTGTGCATATGACAGCTTGTGCATGTATTTGAACTGCAAAATTTATGGCAGCTGTGTGATATGATGGTGCCTTTCTCTGATCAGATCCTTATTTTATATATATTTGTACTTTTCTTTTAAACTTAAAACTCTCTTCCAAGTAGCCATTAACTGTAGGGGCGGTACTTTTGATATGATTTGCACAGTTTTAGTGAATTCTGCATGGAGATTCTAAGCTACTGGTTATTGGAAAATAATGGAGGAAGGATCATTTTAAACTTGTCTTATTTCTTATGTTCTTCCCCTGTGGTTCTGGCTATTGGCCACTATCCTAGCAGATGCAGTGCAGGATCAGCCTTTGGTTTGGCCCCAACTGCTGCTTGAAAGATTAGAGCCAAAAAGTGAAAATATATGAAAATGTTAAAAAGAAGAAGGCAGGGAAATTCTGTTATTTATCCTAGCCTATAATTCTAATTAAATCACTTGATCACTAATTGATCCCACTTTCCCCTGTGCACCTACTCCTCCTTATTCTGGTGCAGCCATTTGTGAGACTAAATGGTGAACTGTAGTAGGTCTGAAAAATAACCTGGATGATACACATCACTAGTAACTACAGAAGATTTTCCACTTGTCTTGAGCCAGCAGCTCCATTATTTCCTCTTCTTGCTATCTGGAGTCATACAGATTACTTATTTTCTAGAAATCTTTGTAAAACTGTCCTCCTTAAATGCTACACTTTGCAGTGACTAGGCATGCTTCTATCATGGGAAAAGAAAAAAAACATCTGGAAATGAGGAATTAGGTCATAATAGTTTACCCTCACCCCCAAGATCTTTTGAAAGATAGGGAATTTAGATACTTTTATGCTTTGACTCATTCTTCAAGACATCTGGCCTATCTTTCAAGTAGCAATTGATCCCTGGCTTCTTTTGTACACATTTTTATAATATTGATAGTGCTTTTTCATTGCAGCAGGCAGAAGCATCTGGTTTTTTCCAGCCTATTTAGAAGTGCTACTTTGCAGCTCATAGATACTCTATTTTGAATTGTCTTGTATGTGTGTTCATGCATTTCCTCCTCTGTGTGTTGAAATAAATTAATTTTCAAACTAACCTCTGCTGTATTTAGCACAGACAACTATGTTAGGGACAACTCTTTTTTCGTAGTCTTTTCTATAATCCCAATCATGCATTTAGGATTCTGATATATGGCACTATAAGAATGTCAACATGCAAAATAAAAAAAGCACAAATCACTTATTAATTGTTCTCAGCAATAGCTGTGTTTTAGCTTAACTGTTAATTTCACTGAAACCATAGATATGGTCTAACTTCTCTAAAAAAACCAAAAGGTATAAACAAAAACTCCCATTAAAAAAACTATGGCAAAACAAACAACGCCTGCACCTCCAAAAAACCCCAAAGGAAACCTAACACTGTGCATATCTGTAGGCCAGGAGCAAGTCAGCACACTTACCATCCCTGACCTTTAGCTCACCTGACTTGCTTTGAGATATATGAAAATATGGAAGTCTTGTTTCTGAGCACAGATAATTGCCTTGGGGTTTGGTGGGTGATTCCTGGGAATGTGCTTCTCATCTAGAGAGGTTCTTTAGCTTTTCTCCTAAAGCTGATGTGGAAGGAGATGGGATACTGGCCTGGGTACATCATTGTTGTCTCACCTGTTATTGGATTTCCTATGTATAATAGTTAAGAATATATATCTACCGTGTTGTCCCTAAATGTTAAGATTCTTTTGCATATGCTAGACTTTCACAGTACTGTAGCACTAATTTTATCTCCAGGTTCCATTTGTATTTATGCAAACAAACGCTTGGTGTGTTGGCTTTACTTAGATTTCTATGAGGAATATGTTCTGTTGCTAAAGGATGTCAAAATGCATGGAAGTGAAAAGGCTTGACCTCCAGAGATGGAAATGTTATTAATGCTTAAATGATTCTATTCAAATCCCAGTTAATGCATCAGTTGTTACAAATGTTACTGTATTTGTTCATGCGGCACACTCTGTGATACTGGGCTGGGATTTTCCCACAGGTACAAATGAGTTAATTTAATTAGAAACATAAGGTTTTCTGCCTATAGGGATACAAGGCCCATGGACTGTGAACTTGCAGTAGCTCATCCCCAAGCTTAGCTTTAACTTTCTGCACAGTTACGTTGCTTTCAGCAGACCCTTTTCTGTGAAAGGAGCCCTGTGTGTGTTGGCATTTGTGAGGTTAAGAATTTAATGTCATGGTTTAGATGGTAAAGTTTTGCTATATGGGAAACTGTCCCTATAGCAAAAGGCACAGCAGCAGCAGGCTGGCTGCCTTCATACACCAGCCCCTCACAGATACAATTACTGATTTTATAGAGGAAATCCAGCACAAATTTCCAGTGTTGGATTATGTCCCAAATTTGACCTATGTTGTTTTGTCTTATTTTCTCCTTTAGTATCTCTTTGCACAGTCCATGTAATTTTTTGTGTGTTCTGCTTTGTTCTTCAAAGCACAGATCTCTCTAAACAAATAAATTCCAGCAGTATTGGGTCCTAAAGCAACCCTTCAATTTCACAGGCCAGAGAACCACAAAATGAAATAAATATGGTTGAACAGAGATTTTAGTCTTGGGTTCTTGCAAGGTCAGAATACCAACAATAACAAAAATAGTTAAGTTTGCATGTATTAGTTCAAAATGTTGGAGAATAATTGGCAGAAGAAAAGTAGACCCTAAGCTTATGACTAATTTTTGCAGTTAAAAAAAATGAGTAGGGAGTTCTAAACTGTTGATTTGTGAGTTTTCTGAACAGCAGAAGCATAGAAATCTGTTTTCTGATTGACTTCTCTGAACTGGAGAGAAGCTGCTGTGGGCATTCAGCTCCTTCCCAGCATGAGGGGATCCAGGCAGGAGGGTGATCTCCTGAACCCCTTCCCCTGGCTAAGTTCCTGCCCACATTTTTGTCTCCATGGGTACGAGGAGCTTTGCTGATTCACAGAAACTAAGCCAAGCCCAAGGATGGAGGAACTTCTGCAGAACACAGTGTGAGCTCTGGCTGGAGACTTTCTGGTAAGTGCTTATGCCCCCTGTCCCCAGTGGTGGTTGAGGTTGCCCCCCAGTCCTTTCTTCTACAGAGAAGGGGACTTTTCATTGGGCTGCTCAGCTACTAGCTGTGGTTGTAAGCCCTTTTTTTCCGAATGGGATCGGGCCATCCCAGTGGTGTTGTGGGTGTTCACAGCCTCAGCTGTCACATTCAGGGGCAGCAGTACCAGGTACTGACACTCAGTGCCCTTACAAAAGGGTAGGAAGCTGAAAGGAATAATAAGAGGTGACTACTCAGTGTCTCAAAGGATTTAAACCCAAATGACTTAGTGAGAATTGCCAGACAGGAGTCTCTGGTGGATGACAATTGACTTCTCTCTCCCCCTCTTCTCTTGCCCTCTGTCCCTTCTCACCCTTTGCAACAGCAGTGTGAGCTTTGGTGTTGAAGTCTGAAGAACTTTTAACCAATGAAGGCAAACACTGATTAGAAGAGGTGCCAGGGATGAGATAACACCAGGATTTGGTATAAGCAGTTCATCCTCCCCTGCGGCAGTCAGACCGAATATTTTGACTTGCTACAATAATTTCCTGTGGGCTGATAACCACTGATTCAATAAAAATGGTAGTAACAGGCTCCATCAGGAGCTGTCCTGAAGGGCTGTTGATTCATTTAATCCCACAATAAGGATTGAGTGAGCTGTTATTTCAAAAGCAAGCTGGATCTAGCATGTATTTGTATCAACATGCCAAAGATGACACAACTGCTGCCTCACCCAGCCCAGCAAAGTGGGGTTTTGCTAATGCTTTATTTGGTCTCCATGTTTGGCTGGGAGACAAGCAACTCTCTTCTGATGTGTTGTCTCTATGAATAGTAAATTAAAAACATTCTCTGCAAGGGGGTGGCACTGCTGTGTTCTGTTCATTTGATTTCTGTGTACCTCCCATCTGCATAGGTTCTAGTGGGAGATGCCACTGTGAGGATAAGGACCTTGGGCTTCCTGAGATGCCACAGTGACTGAGACTGCCTGTCCACCAAATGCAGCTGGGAACTCCTTACAATACTTGCCACATTTTCGAAGTGGTGAGGAGAGACAGTGCCTGGCTTCTCTGAAGGAGTCCCGATGGTCCCGGTCAGTCAATGTGCAGCATCTGATTCCCACCTGCACGTGGACTCCTCACAGGTTCCACATCACTGCTCTCCTTGGAGAGCCCACAGGTACTCAGGCATCTTTCCAATTATGGGGTTTAAATTTTTGGCCCTTTAGTTTTTAAGGAATGTTTTTGACATTGTCAAAGTTGAAGCAACTGGAGCTTTCTTTCATCTAGGGGTGAAGTTGACTCAGCTCTGATTTACCCACTTTTACTTAAAGACCATGACTACTACTTCTAAAATGTTACTCATGTAACTGTGTTATTACATTATCTGTAATGTTATTACATTATCTGCTTTTCCATCTGTTAAATGCCATGGTTCCAGCACCAAAAATACCACTGTCTGACAGTAGCAGCTGTCAAAGGTCTATTTAAGCATCTTCAAAAAATAGTAAAACCTGATACCACTAAATATAAACCAAGTTTTGTTATGATAAAGTTTTCTTTGGATGTGGTTTTAGAAATGTTACTATTTATAGCACCTCTGGAATTTTACTTCTGATAGTAGGGAGATTGTATTTATCTATAATTTTAAGTATAATTATTTGCTTATTCTTGGTTTAAATAATGTTATTTTTTATAACCCACATACAAATATATAACCATCTGTGTGAATCTACCCTCAGCATTCTGTGTGGCTGCTTCCCAACTCTGTTGGAACAGCACCTATGACCAGCCTGCTTCACACAGGATAAAAATCTATCACGTGGGCCATGCCCATGTCCCATCTTCTAGGTAACCCCCGTGACCTCATGACAAATCAAAAGTCTAATTATAAGCATAGCTCATGAAGCAGAAGATGCCCTGAACCAAGTCCTGGGTATCACTTAGAAGTGTAAAGCTACAATTCTGTAGTGAATAGTGCACTTAAATGTGAGTGATAATTGGAACAACAAATTAAATGAACCTTGTTTATAATAATTGAGTAGATCTGAAGACTTCTCAAAGCCAGGTGTCCTGTTGTTAAGCATCATCTTATGGACTGTATTTCCTTCAGGAACCTCACAGCCTTGGCTGGGCATGAGCAAACAACCAAAGAGGTTCTGCAACGCTGCAGCTCCACAGTGCTGCACACAGACAAGCTGTGTGTCTGCAGGAGGCTTGGGCACCCTGTCCCTGGTCCTGGGCTGCTCATACACGTCTGTCCCCATGGGCTCAGCACCTGCTGGTCCTTCAGCCCACCTGGAAAATTGCTGAAGAGTACAGCTCTTCCAGTCACAGCCCAGCAGGAACGAGGGCGATAATGTGTTGGCCATCAGCTGCTCTTGGGGTTAGGTCTGTCCCACGAGTAGTCACAGAAGTGAGTGGTGCCTATGGCAGCTCCAGGTCCTGTGAGAGCTGGAAGACACAGCGGCAGCACTGGCAGGTCTCCTGGCATTTCATGGGCATCTCCCTGCTCAAGACTGTGGATGTCTAAAAATGCACTGGAGAAATGAATATTTTAGGGCTAAAACCAGAGATGGGAGGGGGTTCTGCTGGGTCCTGGTCTCTTCCTGGTGGCAACAACTGCAATCTGCTGCCAGGTAAGGCGTATTTTTGATGTGGATTTTTTTCTCTGACAGTGCACCCTTGGTGCTGCCATGGGGCAGCCAGCAGGAGCCACTCTGGGAGGTGGCACGGCACGTTCCCTGCATGGTACACAGCACTCCTGGGGCTCCCCACCCCCATCACCTGGAGCCTGCTGGGATGGCCCAGTGCCTCGGTGGCACCATTGTGTTGTGCCTGCTGGCCATGTGCCACCCTGAGGGGTCCCTCATCACCCTGGGGACTTTGCATGCAGTGCTGATCCTGCCCAGCCCTTGGAAGCCCCTCACGAGGGACTGGGCAGGGGGGGTGACAGGGTGGTTTAGGGAGAGGGCAGGCAGAGGAGTGTAAAGATGGGGCTGTTGATAAAGTCCAACCACCAAACCGGTCTGGAACTGTGTGATTTGGCACACTGCAGGGAGCTGTAGCTAACAACACAAAAGATGAATAATTGCAGGTCATGGCATTCATTCTCTTCATGGCATTCATTCTCTGAATTTAAAAATGATTAAGCTCCTGGTGAGGGCAGGCAGCTGCAGGTTCAGGCTGCCCTCGTCCCCCTGGCCATGGTTAACATGGCACTGACACCCGGCTGGCAAGCAGGCACCTCTCTTCCTCCAGCAGCGCCCTCCACCAGAGCAGGGCTGCCTCAGGGCCTCGCTGTGCCCCCTCCTGCCCTTGGGCTTCGGAGGGGACTGTGCACGACATGAATGCCAAGGGTCCTTCTACTGCTGCTCAGTTCTCAACCCGGATCAGCAGACGCGATGTCAAGCTGTGACATGGGGGTAAGTCACAGCCACCACACAGGCCTGTCTCAAGGAAGTGGTAATGAAAGGGGCAGGGAGGGCGAACATCGACTCCAAACAGGTATGGCCAGCCTGGCGCTTTGTTCTGCTGCTGTCTTGAGTCACGTCCCAGGGAAGTTTCTGTAATGTTGATAAAGGGGATAGTAAAAATAAAAGGTCTGGTTTCCAACTATAAAACTGTAAACTATATAAAACTATTATCAGGATTGTCTTATCTAATTTTACATTCTCTCTCAGTGCTTGCAAGGTACCACATGTGCCCACAAGTGAATCTGTCCTTGAAAAAGAAACAGTAGCTACTGTGAGTTCTTCCAGAAGGCTTGGATTGAATAGGAAATCCCGAGGATGCTGCTAATAAGTGTAAAAATGTTGACTTTGGAACTGCTGCTGTATGTTTCGAGCTAAGAGTCTGTGTGACTTTTGCTGTCAATCCTCAGGGACAATGCTTTGGTACAGTTAATGTGGCACTTCAAAGCCTGAATCTTGTAAGCAGGAGGTTGAAGCTAAAACGGGAGCAAATTAAACCACCAATGTTTGCTAAATGGTTCTTTCCTCTGACTGCTGATGGTCTTTTAGTCCCTTCCCTGTTGGAGTCTAAATGTCTACCGTCTCCTCTCAGAGTTGTGGCATTGCTGGCCCAGGAAAATTAATTATTTTCTTTTGTCTTCCAATTGCTTTGTTTTTTTCCATTTCACTAAACAGCCCTTTGAGAACCCCTTTACTGGCTGTATGTATCTGCTTTTAATGTGCCTTTGCTGCAAAGCTTGCAGAGGTGCCTCCCCAGCTAAAAAAAACCCAACCAAACAAACAAGCAAACAAACAAAAACCCACAGACACAATCAAGTGCAAAAATAGAAAGGGCTATCACAAAAACAAACCATTGAAACATACTGGGTCACAAACCAGATATAAACCACTAGTGCTCGGGTGTTGCAAGCAGAGAAAAAAATAAAAGTTTTGTTCTAAGATCTGTTAATGGGATGATTGCACCAGCAGCATGGGGGCTCGACAGTGGGAGGCCACATTCAGGACACTGGGTTCAACTTTCCGGACAAACTGGGAGGTGCCCAGAGGGCAGCAACACACCTGGCAGTTGCAGAAAATATGACCACTGATGAAAGTCTGAAGGAATAGAGCTGAGCACTAGACCTTTCTCATTGGAGAGGATAAGCACTGTTACTGAGTGTTAAAGAGAAGAGATGGGTGTGCATGTTGGAGCCTCAGGTATGGTTAAGTATATCGATTTAGACAGAATAATCTTAGGTTTCTTCCAGTGCTGTGTTATGGGACCTTCCTGTGTTATTGCACCAAATGGGGCTTTAAAATTTTCATCCTACTTGTTTTACAGGATGAGTTGGGAGGAAGGCAGGCCGGCAGCCACAGCACAAGCCCTTACAACCACTGTTCCCAGATCCCACTTCTGGTTCCACGCTCGCCCTGAACAGTGTTATCTGAAGGTAATAGTCCTATGATTCCTGTCCTTCTTAAAAGGGTTAAAAGCTAAACTCTTTCCTGAAGCAGGCTGAGATCTCTGTGTGAGTGGGACTAAAGATCTGCAAAGCAAAATTATGTTGCTGTTAAGGCAGCAGGAGGGATAAACTATCCTGGTTCATAATATAAATATTTGCAGTGACAAACAGGGGCAAGAGTAACTGGAGAAAAATTTGGAAGACTCATGCTGTTACTGTTGTTTTTTGAAGTTTGCTGTCCTGCAATACCTTTTAAATAATTCTATGGCAACTGTGGCACAACAAACCCCACATCCCCTTCCACTCAGTTACTTAGACCAGCACTGAAATGGAGGTTGGTCCCTAAGTCTTTATGGCTACAGCGTTTTAGCCAAAGCTCAAGTCTAGAGGAGCTGGGTCCTGCTTCTTTCTTTGCCTAATTTAAGAAAATAAAAATAAAATAAAAGATGTTATGGAAATTAATACCAGTCAGTTACCTGGTTTATTATTAAAAGATAGCTCTGAGCATCTGAGTGCTAGGCCACTCAGTAATTAAAAAACATCTCAGAACCATGAAGGAAGCTGTGCCCTACACACTCCCATTTCAGACAGAACAATCACAGAAAACAGATACTAAAAATAGCAGACATGGGGTTAATGAGTGCTGGCTCACCTGCCTGAACACCTGCAGTGTTTATATCCCACTTCACTCCCTGCTTTGCAAATTCATACCAAATAAGAAATCTCCAAGCTCTTCCTCCAGCCCCAGTTGAGTTTGCCTCCCGGGAGGCAGCCCCGCCGTGCGGGACCTGCAGCTCTGCAGCTCGGTCACCAGGCGGCGGCGACCGCTCAGCGACAAGGCACCGCGGATGGGCTGCACTGCCGGAACTGCTCACCACAGCGGCTTAGCCTGTGACTCACTAATTGAGCATCTGCTAATTCTTAGCACAGTATGCAGGGCTATAAAACCTATGACAAAACATGGAGGGAGACACATGCTTACAGGGGGAAGCTAAATGGATTCTGTGTACAAGATACTGCTGGGTCTTAATCCAAGCTTGTACAGTCAATTAATACTCTGATCTCTGAATTTTGTTTCTGCAAATGCCACATTTTTCCATGCTCCTCCACTAAAACCACATAAACTCTATTATCTAGTGTTAGATATAGGGTTGTTTGAAGACATTGTTATGTCGTGGTTTAGGAATGGTACTCTCCCATTTGGTGTTCCCACTGAAACCACTCGCTCACTCCCTCCTCCCCCTTCCCTTCCTCTGTGGATGGAGAGAATTGGAGGTACAAAAGGTAAAGATCATGGGCTGAGATAAGAACAATTTACTGGAAACAGTGATGACATAAGAAAACAAACAGCAACAGTATTAATGACAAAACTGTACAAGAAAGAGGAGAGTGGTTCACATGTAAATGCTTACCAAAGAGCCTGACCCCACCTGACCAGAAGGAACCCCTGGACCCTCGCCCTGTCCTGGCCATGCCCCTTCTGGCTACTGCAAACACTAACCCTGTCCTGGCTGGAAGCAGGACATGTGAACATAAGAGACTTCTCTTGAGCAGGTTCTTTGGAAAACCTACATTGACCTTGAAATTGAGCAAGGGGAGTACAAGAAAACAAGAAACCTTTACCGCAAGTTACTTTAGCAGATACAGCACGTCAAGGAACATGTGGGCACCCAGGACACAGAATTGGTCTTGAATCTGGTCCACAATGAGAAAAACCCTTGACTGCCTTGCATGTACGGCTTCTTCAACTCAACAGTGAACAATTCAATCCTATGCCTGTGCCATGAAGAGAGGAAAGACTTTTCTCCAAGTTTCTTGGGTATTGTACAGTATTTTCACTGGTCATGAATAAATGCATTTAAAGAGTCTTTACTATGACTGATCTCAGGTACTTTGGTTTGAAAGAATACCAAGAAAACGACACAGGAGGTAATTCCATTTTAATAGTCTCTGAATTTCCAATATTTGAAAGGAAAAATAACAGAGTAAGTGTGACAGTATACAGCCATTACCTACAGAAGCAGTGTTAGTCAGCTTCTCAACATTGTTTTTTGGTATTTCGAGGGAAAAACATTCAGCCTAAAATTTCTCATCTGTAAGTTCTTTGGAGGTTGAGGGGGACAGACCTGACACTTAGTAAGTTGCCTGAGAATCACAGCTTACAGTTACTCAATGTCTTCTGGCCTCACTGGATGAGGCAGAGGTATAACTGATTTCTTCTCTGTATCTCTGGAAAGAGCTTTCCTCATATCTGTGGCAAAAGGAAAAAATGCTATTATAGTTACAGTGGTCATTGTACAAAGCCATATGAAGTGAATTCTCTATTAAAATAAGATCATTTTTAATCAAGAAAATTTCCTAGAATCACAGAATACCTCAAGTTGGAAGGACCCATAAGGATCCAACTCCCTGCTTCACACAGGACTACCTAAAACTAAACCATATGGTTAAGAGCATTGTCCAGACTCTTCCTGAACTCTGATGGGCTTGGTGTCATGACCATTTCCCTGGAGAGCCCGTTATAGTTACCAACCACCCTCTCAGTGAAGAGCCTTTTCCTAACATCCAGTCTGAACCTTCCCTGACTCAGCTTCGCTCCATCTCCTCATGTCCTATCACTGGTCACCAGAGAGAGTGGTGCCCAGTTGAGGAAGGTTTAGACTGTGATGAGGGCACACCTCAGCCTTCTCTTCTTCAAGTGGAACAAGCCCATGGACATTAGCTGCTCCTCCTAAGTCCTGCCCTTGAGACCTTTCACCATCTTGGCTGCTCTCCTCTAGATACACTAATAATTTAATGTCCTTAACGTTGTTCAGCAGCAATGTTATCAACTGAAATATAACACTGCATGAAACTCGACCGAATGGAAAGGAAGTGGCAGGCTAAAGGGACAAATATATGATTTAAGGCACTTGCAACAACAGTAGATATATGTCAGTAGCCCTTATATTTCATAGTGATCCTACATATTGAATGAATAGTGCAAGAACAGAAATGACACACAGCATGGCCACGTAACCCTTTGGGAGAGTACTTAAAAGAAAAAAAATATCTAGAATGAGGAAGCACTTTTGTTAACAGAATCAACATTAACATAGTTGAATTTCCATACTCCTTCCCTTTTACACTGAAAATGTTACCCAATTCTCTGCCACTGTGGGCCACTGACATCTGTAAATTTGTAGTTAGACATCTGAGAAAAACAAAGTTTCAAGTCCCAGTTATGGGAAGAAAGGAAGAAAGCACTTCCATTCCTTTTCATTTTTTATTCTTATTTTGTAGTTTAATTTGCCAGAGATGCTACAAAATGTGTAAACTGAAAGATTAGGTTTTGTAACTGATGTAATCTTCAGTAGGAAAAGTTATCTAAAGGAGGATACAAAATCCCATTCATCAACAACTATCTGAAATTGTTTCATATACAAAAAAAAAAATAATAGTCTTACAAACAAGCCCAGGAACCCTCAACACGAGAATCACTCCATTCAACTTGAGGCAGAACAAATACTTACCATAAGCATCTTCATCTGGCTCCCCACTGCTGGCAGAGTAGTACTCTAACACTGTCCGGTACACACTGTAGCCTAGTTGCTTATACATATTTACAGCAACCTGATTTGATACTCTCACAAAGAGATCAACAAAAAATCCACCCTTTCTTTAGCGGGGGGAGGAAAAAACAAACAAAGAAAAAACAGGTTAAGGAACAGTAGGTGAATGTATTTCTAAGTAACAACCCATAAACTGTAATCATATCAAAGCAAGTCTGATGAGGTAGTACACTAATCAAACATCTTCCACACTGTAATAACAGATGGACTCCTTTACCAAGGGAAAATTCAAGCACAAGCATAGATTTCATTTTATTTTTGTCACACAGCCCTTCTATACCAGCCAGTGGCTTCAGAATTGTGAACAGAAAGAAAAGGACAAGCTAAACGGGCACACAAGCTTCATATCCATGTGATATGATTTAAAAAAACATAAATCCACATTTTAGATTGCATTGGATTAGGAGGGATGGAATAACTCACAAAAATTCATTTGCCTAATGGGGGATAGTCCTTTACCTCACAAGGCAAATTTTTCAAAATATTGTATTATTTTCTGTTTTTACCAAGTGGAGTTGCCCTACTAGAATGAGTTAAGGACATTTCACTGTGGGTTCATTTGACATTAAATTAAATTTTCACAGATACAAGTAACCAAGAAGACGGAAAGTAAGCTAAAAAAATAATTTTGTCGGCAGTTCAAAATTTGTTCAAGGCTGTGCCTGAATGCATTGCACAAAGCCCACAGTTACTGAACAAGTATGTTGTAGGCCCTGCAAAAGGAAACACTGCTGATGTTTCACACAGCTCTTTTCCTGTCAAGAAAAGGGTCTTTTAAACAGTATCACTACTGGAATTCAGGCTATGTCCTACTCATTCTAGCTCAGAGAAATCACAAGATTTTTAAACCACTAAGCAACTTTCATAATTCCTGTTCTCCAACTGTGAGGAATTTCAGAAGATCAGAACATTGCTTACAGCAAAATTCCGGGTCAGTTTCATGCACATCAGATACGTGAGCCAGGGACAGGTGCCTGTAAGAATATTACTTTTAAAGATAAGTTTAAAGATAGGCATATTACTCACTTTTCTGAAATTTCTTCCAGTAGCTCCATCAATTTAGCGGCCAAACCCAGCCGTCGGAATTCTGGTGCAACAGAGAGAGCGGTAACATGTCCGTGCCATTCTTCCCTAGCCACGGAGCCCTCGGCTTTCCCCATAACTGTGAACACACAGAGCATCAGCACCTTTGGAGTAACACACCCCCTGCAACCACACAACTTCACAAGAGGAATAAGCCGTGTATAAACAAACGTTGCAATGGTTGTGGTAAAGGCCCAAACAGGAATGTCTACCTTATCACTCTATGATTCAGCAACCACAGAGGATGTCATTTTGCTCAAGTATTACAGCAATTTCTTAACTAGTGTAAAGAAAAACAACTTTGCAAATTCCTTGCTTAAGGTGTGACTTCTAAATGTGAATTTTAAGCAATTCTCATGAGTCTTTCACTGAACAGAATTTAGGATTTGACTAAAATAACAGAGGAACAGAGGGCCAGAAGCTCAAAACTACCATCCCAGCAATGATTTGAGACTTTTGGAGACTGTGGGGGAATTGAGCTCAGGAAGCTTTGCCAATCTGCCAACAGAAAGCAGAGGCCCTGCAAACACAGTATGTTTAAGGGGAAAAAAAAGGGAGGGGAGGGGGAGGCAGGGATGTTGGTTTAGGGTTCTTCTTTCTAGTTTCTCTCCTTTCTACAAAGGGCTAAACCAGTGTTAGTTCATTAATGAACATTTACACTTCCACACGATGCTCTTACAGATATCAGTCACTGCTAATAAGCAACTATTGTGGTGCGTACAGAGAAATGTTCTGTACAGCACATACTTTAAGCTTCACTGTGTTAAATAGTTTATTTCTTGGATCCCTGCAAAGATCTGCTGCCTGCCCCACCCCACCTCTTGGCAGCTCTCTCTGGCATGATTTCTGAAAAACACAAATATTCCACAGTAAATGAGCAAAGACATCCAGAACTAGAGCTTTCCCTTACAGGACAATGCAAAAGCCAAGCCCAGCACGTTTACTGACTGTGTGTGATCAGAGCTGAGCACAGTGACTTGGACTCCAGGATTACATAAACACCTATTCGCCTGTACCAAACCCGGGTGGACGCTACCACAGCCAAGGCTCCTCGCTGCACTAGGAACGTCAAACTGGAAGCTGCTGCCGTGAGTCCCACGTAATACCCTTAGATGTTTATGAAACGGGAAGATGCAACGCAACCTTCCTCTTCCCTGGTCGGTGGAAAACGCGAAGAGTAGGAAAAGCTCCCGCGTTAAAATGCCCCAAATAGGCAATGAAGGGAGACGTTACCGCCGGAGCACCCGGCACTCACTGTAACCCATCAGCTCCCCGCCGGGCGCCTCGGCGACGATGAAGTACTCGGGCCAGTGGGCGAGGTACTGCAGGTAGAAGGGGATCCCGTACTGGGAGCTCGGTTAAGGAGCAACTGCGGCCGCCACGGCTGCGCCGCCCGCACCCGGCCCCGCGCCCCCGCCCCGGCGGGAAGGATACGGTCTCGGTCAGCGGGTCCAGGTTGCTGTGGGGGAGAGAGCGGCGCTCAGCGCGGGCCCGAGCCCGGGGCCGGCGGGGAGCACCGAGCACGCCGGGGGAAGGCGAAGCGCGCAGGGGCTCGGGGGAGGGACAGGGGAGAGGGGGGCCGGGCGGCGCTCACATGTTGTTGAATCGGAAGAGGTCGTCGCAGGTGAAGGCGCGGAGCGTCGTCATGGCGGTGATCGCGGAGACGATGCTTCCGCTGCCCCGGAACCGCTGCCGCTGCCCCGGAAGCCTTCCCGCGCCCCAGCGCCACTTCCGCCACGGAAAGGCAGCCGAAGCGTCCCCGCCCCGCAGAACCGCCCCGCTCCCGGCCCGGCCCGGGTCGCACACAGCCCCGCTCCCGGCCCGGCCCGGGACCTGCCGCCGCCAGCCGTGCCGGGCAGAGGCAGCGCAGGGTCCGTGGCCGTGAGAGCGGGCGGGTAGCTGGGAAAGCGCTCTATGTTTCAGCCACTGAGTGCACAGGGTGCACATCTCCTTGTTGTATAGGTTATGCTTGTGTTTCCACAAATAAAGGACCGCGGTGGACGCCTGTGCGTTGCATACGACCTTACAGATCCAGACCTTTAGACTGACCCTCAGACCGACCCTCGGAAGAGGACCAGCAGAATGTTTTGTGGATACTGAACAACGGATGTCCCTAAGACGTTTGGACTTGGGAGAAGTGGGGGCCCACTATGGGAATATGGATACAGTGTTTTTGATGAACCAGTGCTAGGCGGAGCCTATTATACAAGAAACACACGGTTATTAGCCCTAGATTGGCAACATGACAGCCTAGAGAACTGGTGGTTAGAAAAACTTTTGCCTTCTGCTATACCCTGTATTGAATGTCATACCACTGACCACCAGTCCTGGGTACTGTGTCAGTGTAAGGCGTGTGACAAAAAGTAGTACTGTGCCTCTTCTCGAAGACGAGAGTTTTGCAGAATTTGTGAGCCACGAGAACGAGTGCTCCCACTTACGGAAGCTAACATAGTAGCCTTAGTGTGTGGAAAGAAAAGGCTGGTTCCTGATCAGTGGGAAATACCTGAAGAACAGTGGGAAAAGACAGTAAGAGTGTGCGAAAAAATTGCCTAAAAACATAGGCCATGATGAGCAAAGGGCGAGGTAGTCTACAGAAAACAATACACATTGCTTTTCATGCAATGCATTCAACGAGCTATAGACAAAGCATTAAAGGCTGTTTTAATTATAAACAAAGAAGGGGTAATTATGGAGATAAACAGTGTCACGTCCCTCCAGCCCGGGACAATGGACATTGTTGCACTAGTTGGCAGAAAGCTGTAGGAACAGTAAGCAGGAGAAGAAGACATGGAAGAGGAAGACACAAGACTGCAAGAAGGACCTTGGTTGCTAAGAACTGTAGTTATTTTTATCTGTTAAAGCATATGCTGAATTATGTAGTTTGAGAGAGTAAGCATAAGTAGAAAATTACCAATTGTTCTGCTTGAATTACCTTTTATTCTGCCTAGGGTATATAAGTATATGCATTCTTAAATAAAAGTCTTCGGTTTTGCACTGGAACGGAGTTCGTGCCCTCAATCCCAACAGGGTCAGTCACCACAAAGAGGTGTCAAACTACCTCAGGCTCCCAGGCATGAACCCGCACAACTGTTCTTCCTGGTGTTGCGGTGCTGAGCCCAACAAGGAGATGTGCACCCTCTGCACTCAATGGTTGAAACGTATCGCTTGCCAGCTGGTTCCTCTTGTTAAGAGAGCTGAACACAAAAGTACTTTTTTCTGCCATGATCCTCACTGGGGTAGACAACAAATATGGTATTACTGATGGGTATGAGTAATATAATTGGCAGCATTTAAGGTCTGAAGAGAGGGGAAATTGTAGATAATAGCTTAAATCAATTAAAAATCCTCTTAGGTAAAAAATCATAGTGTGCCTACTACAAATTATTCTGTTGCACTGGTAAGTTTACAAAGGTAGATACATAAAAAGGAAACGACTATAAATAAAAATATATTTCTTGTTAATAATTAGATATTGCACTGTTTTATATTACCCATTTTATAGTTATATGCATAGTAAATTCTATACACACACACATATATAAGAGAAATATATAAGACCTCTTAGCCAAAGTTGGTTAGAAGGGAGTGAGAAAAGATAAACTCCTTCAAGCTGGAATACATAATTACAGTCACACAATGAAGTGCTAAAAAAAAAATCAAGGAAGAATTATATTCAACTTTTTATTGATTTCCTGTTACTCACTTTCTAAACAAAAACTGATCAACGGTGTCAATACCACAGTAATTTACTGTTACAAAATTTACTGTGTAATTTACTGTGTTACTGTGTTGTCCAATTCTCATGAGGCAGCAGACTTGTACTGCCTATATTACATTAGATTACACACAATGACTGAGGAGTTAGAGCCCTCCTTGACTAGGGAACAACAGGATTTCTGGATGCATGTTCAACAGTGCAAGTAGAGCTTGCCTATGCAGGACAAGTGGACCATCTGTTTCAAAATGCTTTTTCTTAGGCAAGATCTTTTGTATCAGATGTAAAAACTGTAGTAACAGATATATCATCTATAAAACACTAAATATTATATAACTTTTTTGGTCTCTACTAAAATTATATAATTTACTGTCGAAAAGAATTGTGTTCCTCATAGAAGTAAATGCTTTTATTCCAGGTATGTTTTGGGGAAAAAAAACAAAAAGGATATGGTCTTCCACTAGTGAGTATAATTTAGACTAAGAATTAAAAATTTAAAACCATGTGAAAAGTGTTTTCTAATACTATGGGGGAAAAACCAGAATCATCTTGCAGTTGTAAAAATTAGAGCAACAGCCTTTGTTACACATTACTCTTGCTCATCATTTTTTCCAGGTGCAGGCCAACTGGCTTCATACTTTTTCTTCAGGCCTTTCAAATATATACGCAAACTGTCAGGGTCCAATCGAGAGTTTCTGGCAGTCTGAACCAATCTCATTGCTAAATGGTACGCAGCTCTCTGTTTCATCATCTCAGGAGTGCTCTTCTGCCTGTGCTGTTCTTAAAAATATACATGCATTAAAATATGAAATAAATTATGTTCTATTATTAAAATACTAAGATTAGCTATTTTCCAGCCTATTTTAGATCTCCCAATTCTGGGTTTGTATACAAACATTGCATCCAATACAGCTTTACCCTGAGAGCTGTCTTCTATTGTCACCTAACAGTGACCTTCAGTAAAACCTTTTATAACTGGTTCCAGAAATATGAATTTTAATGAAATCTATTTTCTATAGGCAGTGCTTATCCTGTATCCTTTCAGAAACTGAAAATATATTTGAGTTTTATAAAAACTGTGAATTACAGCATTACAATCTTCTACTACATACCAAAATTTGTTTTGCAATATGATTTGTGATTTCCTTTGCATCCAAAATTACAGATGATGGTAGGGAGGAAACTTCTGCAGCTTTTAGTCCTAAACATATAAAACATGAGTCAGGATTTTTGATGTAATTTTTATTTCTACCTTCCACATTATATCTTCCAGGATTAACTTAGCCTATTTTTTTAAAGGGTGAAGATTTAAATTTTACTAAAATAATTTTGGTACATTTTTTCTTAGTGTCCTTTTTTTTGTTGTTGTTAGTAACAATATGGGTTTGAGAGTTACAAAATAAAATATCTACTTTGTTGTAAAGCTACCTCTAAAATACACCTCCACATCAAGTTACTGCTTGTAATGCTATAACTGGGTAGAATGAGACACATTAGGGGTGAAAGGGAAAATAATGGCATGGTGGTGTTAACAGCTTTCTTAGTTTAGTTTTTTAATTTGGCAGGCCATAAAATACTGAGGTTGTGCTAAATGCACTCTCCATTAAATCCACAAATCCAGTGAATATGGATGTCATGTTCCAATTTCTACTTTGTTGGCAATAGCCAAACTTCCAGATACTCAGGGTAAGAAAGAGATGTAAAGCATTTTTTGGGCCGTAACATGATTTTTTAACTTCTTCCTTTGCCTATGCTCCTGAATGTTCTGAGGAAAGCCTGTAGCTCATTGGGTGCTTTAACACTGTAGGGTTAAAAATGAAAAAGGGTCATGAAGGGCCCTTGCACTCTTTCTTAGAATGCAACTTTGCTCAAGTAAGCTAAAGCCAAGACACCAACACAGAGCTTCTAAAGGTCTCCTCTTCTCTGAGAATACTCTCCAAACATACAATTCTTCTGAGTTAGTGGTCGTGTAGCACCTAAAATTGAGCCTGTGCTGCCAAAGGTAAACAAACGTATTCTGAAATTACAATTAAGAAATGTTTTAAGTCCAGCTAATCGAAGCTTGACTGGAATAATTTCTAGTCTTCTGTTACCACTAGCTTGCAAAAGTCATGTGTAGATAATTTCCTACTGATTAAATGTTACCTAAATCAAGGATTCAACATCAGAATCCACTATTTGGAAACATACAGATTTCTGTACATAACATGTTAGCTATGCCTTACTGTCACTCACTCCTTTATTGACCCATAATCCAATAGTGGCTCAACTCATTCAAACAGACATGAATCAAGTAGCTACTGACATTAGTAAAATGTTTTTTTCACTATGAAATTACTTGTAAAGTCTTCATACTTCCCAAAACTACTATCTTACTACATGGTTACTTAGAACACACAAGTATTTGGAACACACTAGAGATCTGCAGATCTCTATCTTTCTTTGATAGAGAGAGATACAAACTCAGCAGAAACTGTCATCAGAAAAGTACTCTTCCATGCCTAATAAATGAAACAGTATTCCATAGCAGAATCCACTACCATAGTTCTTTTCCTCTGTGTATCCTTTAGAAAGTGTGTAAGTGTAGGCAATTTTCTCCTTATTTCCAGCACTGCTTCTCACATGTTGCACTTCAAAATGGTAATTTTCCACATTGGGATACAAAGCATCCATATGACACAGTTCCAGGAAATGTGTAGCAAACAGTGTAAATGCCTAAATAAGGAAATAAGAAAGAAAAATTATTTTGGAAATAATCCTGAAATAAATTACAATAAATAAGAAACATTAAATTATCTCACAGATGTCCAAGTCTTCCTCCAAACCACCGAAAAGCTATCTTCAAATTACTAAAGCAAATTAACATCTTTAAGTGATGAGTTCTACCATTGGCAAGTATATCTTTTCCAACTGTGGATTCTCTTGCTCCTTTCTCAATAGGAGGAAAACAACAGAAGCAAAAGGAAACCCATTATGCAAAATCTGACTAGTGTTAATTTGAATGATTGTCAAATGGTTGCTTAATACTCTCAAGGAATGCTTTATCGAAAGTACAAGCAACAGAAAATATCTGAGCTTTTCAAACCAAAAAGCCCACAAAGTATTCTGAATAAACTCTGAGGAAAAACAAACACCTGCACACTTACTTTAAAAAGCTAGCAGCAACCTGAGCTTGATCACATAACCAGTAATACTAGAGGTGAAACTTTCAACCCATCTAAAACCATAATCCCCTTTTTTAAAGACTTTAACCTCTGTGACCAGTTCAGAAATTGTGTGGAACTACCACTGTTACTTTGAAAGGTAACCTCTAGGTGAAGAGGTTCACCTTTAACACTGAAGCATAAAGCTGTACTAAACAAAACTAAAGAGACTGGGTTATTCTCTTTCTTGACAAAAATACAAGCTTGCCAGCAAGTTGGAAAGATATGGTGACACAGTGTACTGGTTTTGGATGGACTAGTGTTAGTTTTCTTCATAGAAACTTGTGCTGTGCTATGTTTTGGACCAAGACAGTGCAGATAACACAGCCAGCTTTCAGGTCCTGCTGAGCAGCACTTGCACAGCACCGAGGGCTGTTCTGCTCCTCACCTTGCCCTGCCAGCGAGCAGGCTGGGGGTGCTCAAGGAGCTGGGAGGGGACATGGCCAGGATGGCTGACCCCAGCTGACCCCAGGGGTATCTCAAAGCATCCAACACTGCAATAAAAACTGCAAAGGAGGAGGAGAAGGGATGGACATTCAGAGTTATGGTACCAGTCATGTGTAATGAAGCCCTGCTTTGCTGGAAATAGCCGAGCACCTGCCTGCCAATAGGAAGTGAGTTTCTTATTTTGCTTGTGCATGTAGCTTTCCTTTACCTACTGAAATGTCTTTATCTCAGCCCACAAGTTTTTGCACTTTTACCCTTCTGATCTCCCCCCCATTCCACTGTGGGGGATCGAGTGAGCAGCTGGGTTGTGTTTAGCTGCCTACTGGGGTTAAACCACACCAATCAGTGAACAAAAGTGCAGCTTATGTCAGCATTTTTCCATCATCACAATTCTTATTATTCACCCATTATGAAAAATATCATATTTAGGCAAGAAATCTCTACAAAACTGATGTTACATTATGAGAAAATACTATATTTACTTTCAGGATGACAACATAATTCTAAGGTTTAAATTTTTTTCAAAACAGAATTACCTTTAAATTCAACAGATATTCACAGGTAGCATAACAAATGCCAATACCTTCTTCAGCACTGGTACCTCTGCCAAGTTCATCAATTATGATGAGTGATTTATCATTAGCATTTTGTATGATGTACGTTATCTAGGAAAATATTCAATGTGTTATCATTCCTATAAAGGTATTTTTAAAAAATAGCAAAACTTTGTGTTATTCAGATGAAACTGCAGAAATTTTTAAAAATCTTGTCAAATACACAACTTTTACCTTTTCAAAGCTTTCAAACAGCTGTCAATTCTGATCAAGCAAATACTACAGCACTCTTTCTCTTTTCCATTGAACAGACCACATTCCTTCAAAATTATATCAGTTTGGGAGAGGGACTTGAGAGGACTTAGGCCCCTACAAATAATCATTTAAGGTTTAAGCAAAACAAAAAATGTTGAAACTGCTATCAAACAAAGCACTAACTCTTACTTACATTGTAATATCTTTTAAATTAAGATATGCCTGGTTTTCTGTGGTTTATTATCAAAGAGATGAGGGCTGGATTTCGGACTACTTTTCAAAGTACGCTATTTCAGCAGAAATACACCAGTATAATTTCTATTAGCTTAACAGTAAAAATGGGCCTTCGACCCTGGATTAGCTATGTTCAATACCTCTTTCATTTCCTTCATGAATGTTGATGCATTTGTTTCTATATCCTCATCCATACCTATTCTGGTAAAAATCTGCTCTGCGATTCGAAAAGAACAATACTCTGCTGGGACGTAAGAACCTACAAAGCAAGTAAAATGTAAGTTTCTTTTATCAGTGTGATATCTGCCTGAATATGTCAGCGGGAAAAAAAAAACAGTTTTACACTTGGTTTTCATGCACAGTAGAGAATGCACCTTACCTGATAAAGTTTCATAAGATAATGTTCTACCATGACTTTATAAGAAAAAAATTATTATATAGATACAATAATTAAAGAAGCATAAAAAAAAAAACCTTTAAGAAATCATATGCCTGAAGCTTGTGTCAGTCTAAAGGAATGAAAAAGTGAGAGTAAATACTAGGATTAATTTACACTTCTGTAACCACTGATTTACTAATCACAAGAAATCTTAGTTTTTCAAACCCAAGGCTATATTGCCTTTATCAGACTTTGAGGCCTATTAGTTTTACCAAACAGGAAAGAACAAGAAATCTGCAAAGACACTTTATAGTCTCCTTTATTCATATTAAACTCCTGTTTTTGAGGGCAATTCCTCAAGAACTTGAAATTTTTGGGGACTGAACCCACAAACACATGATGGATAACTTTTTTTCTCCACTGCTAAGTAATTTCATTCTAGTAGAGTTAGAATCAGCCTATTAAGGTCTCTGTCTGGTGCTACCAGACTTAGCTTTAAGAAAAAGGTCATGAGGAATTCCTGAATATAGGGATGAGTCTAAGTTAGATTTTACAAACAGTTGGTTTACTTTTATAATCTTAGTAACAGAACCTTGCAGTATTCATTACTACTTTTATTTGAAGTAGTTGATTATTTATCTATTAATTATACTTGTCTGGAAACATGTTTCTCTACATAACTGAGATATGCTCAAGGTCATCTGTTCCTGTTGGATGACTAACACACCTATGTCTGACCAGAATACTTCAAGGACACTTAGTATCAATCTAGTAAGATGCTGGACTGAGTTATGGTGCTCCAAAGAATTAAGACCACACAGCTGTGCTTCTCTAAAGACAGACTGGGGAGCCTTCCAGGTACACAGATGGGCCCCATAAATTTCCAGTGGCAGATGCAAAACCTGTAGTTTCCTCTGTCAGCAACACAAGAGCTGGTAGGAGCAAACAGACTACTAATTACGTGTTACTATTTTATTTAGATAAAATGTTATTCTAGAAGCCAAATCATTCAACTTTATAAAAATTTTTAGCCAGAAAAAAAAATGTGCTGCAGAAGATTACTACTATTGTACACTCTCACTCACCAATCTGTGCCATAATTTGACAGAGTGCAATCTGTTTTAGATATGTTGATTTTCCACTCATATTTGGTCCTGTAATAATGACAAAATTGTTGCCCTCTGTCAGATACGTGTTGTTAGCCACAGGTTTTTCCACAGCTATCTTTTCAAGAATGGGATGCCATCCCTGCTTGATTGCTAAAGTATCCGTAAATTCTGGACGAACTAAAAGAGAAAAAGAGATATAAAACACTGTGGAGTTAATATGAAAACCCTTACATTATTGAACTAGTATGTTTTGAAATAAAGTTAATTCTTGCAGAGCCAAAGTCAAACTCTATTGTTTTGATGTCCCAGTTTTTACTTTCCTGTAGTGAGCAAGACCAACATGCAGGAAGAATTATCAACCACTTTCAGGTATACATTCTGACTGCCATGCAAGTCTTCATGATTTATTACTACAAAAAGAAACCCATAACTAAAACTTGATTTCTAAATTAACATTCTATGTTTGTGTTTTCTAGTAAGTAGGGCTGGATTCCAGTAATAAAGAAAAACACAAAGAACTAAAGTAGTTATTTTGATACTGCTGCAAGCATATAAAGTACAGGGGTTGTGGACTTACTCCTAGGTATGTATCTTATATATGCATGGGAAAAAAGGAAGTAGTATTCCTTCTGGTTTTATGTTACCATATTACAAAGATCCATTTGATGATGAGAGGTTGGATGTGAACCCACAATGTGCAGTTGCAGCTCAGAAAGTCAACTGTATTCTGGGTTGCATCAAAAGCATCATGGGCAGCAGGTGACAGGGAGGATTCTGCCCTCTGTCCTGTTCAAGTGAGACTCCACCTGCAGTGCTGCCTCCAGCTCTGGGGTCCCCAGCACAGGAAGGACGTCAGTCTGTTGGAAGTGAGTCCAGAGGAGGCCACCAAGATGATTAGAGGGCTGGAGCACCACAGCTATGAGGAAAGGCTGAGAGAATTGGGATTGTTCAGCCTGAAGAAGGCAAGGCTTTGGGGAAGACCTTACTGTAGCCTTTTCAGTACCTGAAGGGGACCTACAAGAAAGCTGGAGAGGGACTTTTGACAAGGGCATGTAGTGATAGGACAAGGGGGAATGACTTCAAACTGAAAGATATTGGAAAGAAATTCTTCCCTGTGAGGGTAGTGAGGCACTGTCACAGGTTGCTCAGAAAAGCTGTGGATGCCCTGTCCCCAGAAGTCTTCATGGCCAGTCTGGTTGGGGCCCTGAGCAACCTGATCTAATCGGTGACATCCCTGTCCTGCCCATGGCAGGGGATTGGAATGAGATGATCTTTAAGGTCTGTTCCAGTCCAAATCGTTCTATGATTTAATAATTTAGATGAGAAAGTCAAGTGGCAAAGGGACTGAACGGTACAAGTGACAGTCCATTTCTTTTGGTGGGCACACTCGTGCCTGGCTACACAAACTGCAGTTGCAGATTTACTGGAGACGCTGAATGGCTTTGGTATTACGATTATTGCTGAAGAAAACTTGTGCTCTGATTCACTTGTTGGGAAAAGGTTGTGATGCCTCAAGTATATCACAGTCACTGTTCATTTACAGATCAGTTCATGTGCTGTAGCTGATATCAGCACATAAATGTTCACAGTCCATACTGTGAAGTAAACAGATCCTGCCTATGTACTGGAGGTTACACAGCAGCATCAGTAAAGATAAGCTAATAGAAATCCTGAGATGGCTTCCAGACCTGATTTACACCATCTTGTGCTGTAGGTAAGTATCTCAAGCTAGCAGTAAAAGAAGACAATGTGGTCATTTATATACTGGAGAACTGGACTAGGGAAGCAGGATGAACAACACACACGTGAGCACTTAATCCTGGATTCCTCAGAAGGCTCTACTTCCAAAAATGTCTAAAAGTGTTACAGACATTGAAGGCGAGAAACAAAAGTAGACATATATTTTGTTTTATGGTATAAATGTAGCATTGACCTGCTCTTATTATCTTGCTACCTTTAGAACAGAAAGAAGTGTAAACTCAGAATGTTCACAGACTTCACACTTTCGAACAAAATATACTTAAACTGGCTGTCTTGAGAAGACTGACTGTGAATGCTTACGGCAGCTAACTGGAAGAATTTATTTTCAATGAACAGAAGCAGAAAGAACATCAGCACAAAATGGAGACAGACCAGAGACACTCAACTAAAGACTACTGAGACTCACAAAAAGAAACAGAACGAGACCAAACAGCCCAGTTATTCTCCAACAGAAGGCTCTTTATCTGGCCCATAACAGAACCAAGGGAGGAACTCACCATAATCCGAAAGAGTGCAGGCATGGGCAAAGGAAAGCAGCATATCCAGCATAGACACAATGTCAGACAGCTTGTACAGGCAATGAATATGTTCATAGATCTCACTCAGTAGTTTACACACTATTCTGAAATAAGACACTGATTTAGCTGTTGCATGGCACATACCATCACTTTATCCAACTTACAGAAATAAGGGAGTTACGATGTTTGTACTGCATACATTAGGACAGAAAGTCACTCATAAAATGCAATCACATCTGCCAGATGCAAGCACATGTGTAAATTTCTTTGAAGTAAATTAAAATCTTATATCATCATCTCAGATCCCATCCTGCTATCAGACACAAGACACATACCTCAAATACCAACAGCTCATATGAAAGCTTCACAAAGAGAATGAACTAAAAATATAGCTATGGAATCAAGCATGTTTTATTAACATGTGAAATGCGACTAATTCCTGTAGACTTTCATGTTAATAAAAACCTACAGGGCTGCTAGAAAGAATTTCCATTTAATTGACAGGCAACATTACACTTTAGTAAGTCTTCTGAATCAGACAGCAGAGCAATATGACATGCAGAGCAATATGACATGCAGCAAGGACAAGATACAGAAATAGACAGTTCCACTCTAAATACAAGGAACTGATTGGAAGTAATAATTCTGCATTATTAATGCAAAATTGATGCATTCATTGTACCATTTTGTGTAGATAATTCACCCATAAAAATTAATATGATGACCAACCTTATTAATAAATGCCTATATATTTGCTATCATGTTTAATACAATACACACTTTATGTTTGTTTTTTTTTTGTCTCAGAACATACACTTGAACAGTGCTGCTTTGGACTATTTCTGTAAGTAGACATAACAGAAAGACAGCTTTAAAAAACTGCAATTAGTTGTTAATTGGAGAAAATAAATGTAGTTAGCAAATATTAAGTAGTTTTAACAGGTCTTACAAGTAGGTCATGTGATATATTTCTCTCAGGGACTCCTGACATCTTTCATTCATTTTTATTAAATCTGCCGAAGTGAAGCTATATGTATTCTTCATTTTAGTGATCTACGGGGAATTGAAACCAACAATAAGAACTTGCCTTATTATCAGAGACAAAAACAGTTTCTAACAAAACAAATTTGGAACAGTATGGGGGGTAAAAAAGGAGAAAGAACAACATCTGGTTTCATTTTTACCACATAATTTTTTTTTACCATAAATTTTTATTAAAAATTCATTTTAGACAACAGTTATCAGCAAGATACATAACTTCATATTTACACATTACATAATTGCATGTAATTGCACATTTCTGACTATAACTGGAACTATTAACTATAACTCAAAATAGAGTAGTTATAGAAACATACCAATTAAACCTTCATTTACTTCTAGCTATCTTCACTGAAATTATTTTGATTGTTACAGTATAGTGTGTACTTTATTAATATATACTATATATTTTACATAAAGTATACAGATATATTATGAAAAAACGTATCTTGTACAGATACCTTTGTAAATTCTGAGGGAAGCTGGCCATTGGGTAATGTTGAACAATCAGCATTCATCTGGATAAAAAATCCACGAGCAGAGTTGAAACTTGTTTTCAATGGTAGGTTGTACTTTTCTGCAAGTTGCGTTATCATACCTACAAAAAAAGATTTAATCCAAATTATATACTTTCAGGTACATACACATACTTGTGTTGGTACAAAGATGGATACTGTTAATGGATACTTAATGGAAGGTTTCAGAAGTAAAAAACAGTAGCATCTGTATTTTTCACTGTGTGTGAATGTAGGATTAGAAGGAAATAGGAAGTTCACAACAAATGACAGGTGCTAAAGTTTCTGATGCTCTTTTAGTTTTCCAATTATAGACTAAACTAAGATGGTCCTTTAGCTAGAAATCAACATTTTAGACTAAAAAAACGGAAATCAATTTCAAAAGACTTTTTTTTCCTTCTATTTTGACTTAAACAGGAAAGTTACTATAACACAATAACACACATCATGCTAAAATTCCTTTTGTTTTTATTTTCCAACTCTTAATATAGCTAAAAGGTAGACCGCAGAGAAATCAAGACTGCTTAAAATATAAAGAACCAAGAACTCAGATATTTGAAATGAAGAAGCTAAACCAAAGATTTACAGGTTTTATGCAGAATGCTTTAGGTGGAGTAATTCTGTTACATTACTTCAGACATTCTGTACTTTTACAGGATAAGGGGCAACAGAGCTTTCAATATAGGAATCACAATATAATTGTTCAACTTCATTAAAATACAATTGAGTTTTTATCTATAAATGGAGCATCTCAGTAAGTATCTCAAAAGAACTTCAGTAGCTTATCAATGACAATCAATTTATACTAACACAAATACTTTTTTCTTCTGCAAAAGTCATAGCACGTATGATTACATGGCTTCTATATGCCAGCTGCAATGTACTTTGAACTCCAAAAACCCAAAAATTTTACTGTCTAAATACCTGCTATGTCATCAATGATTTCTGTGTATGTTCTACGAGCTACATCAAGAAATTCATTGATGTTAGGCTTGACAGCATAGCACTTCTGGGTCCTCATACTCAGACATCCTTTTGTGTATCTTGTATCATCATTAATTACAGTTGTAATCTTTTCAAGCATGACTCCAAATCTGCAATATGAATTGTATCACTAATTAGACAGATAATACCTGATGATTTTTACTTGCAATATCATCCTCAAACTACAAATAGTATTGCAAATAATAGTATTCCAAATAACTGAAGCTAATTATCTACTATTAAAACAAAACACTACATTTCATTTCTATTTTCACCTCAGAATGAAGTGTGACTATACCTAAGTCTGACCAAAGATACTATTCACATCTCTGGGAGATATAATCTTCCAGAGATACAAATTATTTCTCAAATATACAAGCAAGAGTTGATTTTTGCATTATTATGGGGACTCTAGGAAACCACTACTCGTCTTTTCAGAATTATTTCTAATGGAGCTCAGTTCATCAGCAGTTGTAGTATCATAGCTAGCTCTTTTGCTTTTTTCCATGTATTTGTTAGTTGAAAATTGGAGTTTCTGACCATTAAAATCAGATTTTAGGCAAAAGAATTGAACTGTACCTGTAACTATAGATAAGCAAAGATGCAACACCTTTAAACTTACAGGCACTTTTAAGATGAGTTTCTAAAATACTAGCTCAAGTATTACGATTAAATACCTTGTATCTTCAAGAGAATTGTAATAAGCCTTTAGCAGCTGTGTGTTACAGCTTCTTAAAGCAGCCTGTTGAAGATTAAAATATGAACAGGAACAGTTACTTCTTTTTGTAGACTTTTTAAAGGATTGAAAGTTCTTGGATTCACTTATCAGTGAGGCTTATCAGCAGTTGCTAAGTACTTTGTGGAATCTGAGTGGGAGTTTCAGTTAAATGTTTGTTATAACATCAATTATTCAGGTAATGGTAGGAATCCTGCTCTTCAGAGTATCAGCCTCAAATGTGTATTCTCAACTGGCTTAAGAATCAACAGACTGTTGGAAGTATTGTGTTCTGCAAAACACATACATTTTTTTTACTTTATTGGTCCCTTCCAAATTAAGATAATCTATTCTATATGCTATGAAAATTGACAAACTGCACTTTATAAACTAAGGACAAAATGGTCTGTACTTTACTAAAAAAAAAAAAAAGAAAAAAAAAGATGAAGACAAAGCTTACTTTCAGAGGCTCCACAAGTTCTAAAGTATGCTTCAGGTAGATTAAATTGGTTATTTTTGATTCAGCAGTTTTAACCTGTTGAAAAATTTTCCAAGTATTTGAGGCATTTGTATGTCTGACTGTTTAAAAAAGTACTTAAGAACTAGTACAACTCATATTCTTAACTCTAACTGGTTTATACATTTAATGAAAATTCCTAAAATGCTTCATAAGCTCACTTCGACAACTTAGTAAGTGCACAAATAAATGTTCACCTAAATTTTTCATTGCCTACTGTGATAGCTTGCCCATCAGTAGCTAAGATTTTCATATGTCTGCACTGATAAAGATTAAGTCTAATGATTGACTCACCCTGCTAACCCAAGCTGTGAAAACTTCTTTTAATCTTCTGTGTATACGTAAGTCTGTAAAGCTCTACATACCTTGTAGACTTTTTCAAAGCAAATACATTAGGCATTATAATGAAGCACATAGCCTCTTCCATAAATGCCTTTAAACACAACATAATCCAGTTTAGTTGATTTCTCTTTGGTTAATATATGTACATTGTTAAACACCTCACTATGTAATAATAAAAAAAATCCAATAAATATTTCAAAATTTTTCTTACTATAATGACTGTTCTTCAAAATGTTTCATCCACATACACATTCTACCTTGTTTTGTATGCCCCATTAACACTTACGATGAAGAATTTTGCTGCCAATATTAGGGCATAGCACATGCAGTACATATGCACTGTGCAAGGAAATAACAGATAAGCACATGAACACAGGAGTATGACCCCACATGAAATATTTTCTCATTCATATATAATTATCTCTTTGCTCTTGTGATTGAGAGCATCTCTTGTCTTATCTTACATTCTATAAAAAGTTGTTTTCTATGAAAGATAGAACTAAACAAGTCTAAATGCATGAAAAGAAGAATGATCATTCCAAATAAATATGGGGTCTAAGTCCCATGATGGAATCAGACACTGAAAGGACAGATGTGGTCATATCTGAAAAGCTGGTATTTCCTAATGGAATGTACTCTTGCCTAATTAGTTCTTACACGAATTTTAACTGAACTGGTGTCTGAACTTTGTACATGCTGCAAAGACCAAAGGGAGAAAATTAATGAATACAATCAGCCAACAATTCTTCTATATAATGTTACTTTATGATTCATTCATGACCAAAATGCAAGACTATCCTTACAGCATCTGAAATCAATTTGTCCACGGTCAGCTGGATATGGAAAGCAAGACGATCAGAGAAGCAGCTGACTGGTTTTTGTGCTGGGGACTTAAATCTTATAGTCTCACAGACTTAAGCGTTATGTCAGTGGACCAGCCCTAGTTTAACTTTTCTATTTCCTGCAAACTCATTTGAACTAAAAGTACTGCTACTTTCTCCCTGTCAGAGAAGGAATCAATTTGTCACATACCCGGAACTTCGTCAGGCACAAAATCTGCTGAACTTGTTCTTCAGATGGGTAATCAAGTAATCCAAAGTAGGTGGTCCTCATTTCTACCAAAAGTTGGATGCTGAATGAATTTCTAAGGATTTTTCATGATTGAGACAAGAGGGTCTTTAAGGAAATCTGTGTTGGGTTTATTTTGTCCAGATACCTGTACTTTGCTTATATATGTAAACTTTGTAAGAAGAAGTACTTGATTTCACCAGTGGCGTAATTTTTCAAGTAACGCATCTCAGCAAGATTGTCAACTGACAGTCCTCCTTAGGATAAGAGAATGCTCATGTTGAACAGATCACTCACACTTTAGTAACTGAAACTGTAGGCTTTTCAGATGTGCACCTCTTCTGTTAACTGGTGGGAGGTTTACAGTGAAAATGTTTATGGAGAATAGGAATGAAACATACTGAATGCATTAACCTAGCGTTTGATAAAAGCAACTGATTTAGCACTTGAATGAACACATCTGTTGTGTGGATAGTGGGCTCTGCTACGTTGGAACCAGTCAACAGTGAAAACACTGCAGTAAAAGGTTTGGTGTACATGGCCCTGAGCATACATAAAGGCATCCAGTCTGACAGTTTTAGTCATACAAATGATCTCTCATTCACGTTACAGATGTCTACAAGGAAAGCTGGGAGCAATAAACATTCCGAGTTTTGCATATGTCATTAAAGAGATTTATCTGCATTTATTATAGTCCTGCTGGAGTCTGTACCTGATTTCTTTAACTAGCATTAGACAAGTCCTTTATCTAAGCAGGAGAGTCAGCATGTGAGAAGACACTGAGAGGTGAGAGAGTTGTATATATCTATGATGCTGGCATAAAGATATATACTTACTCTATTTTGGTATTTGTATTACATGTGTTTTAATGTAGAGTGATATATAAGGCAAAGTCTGATGAAAAAAATAATCTTGCTTTGAAAAGTAACAGTCACTAGGACTGTAAATCACCATGCACTTTTTCCACTGATGCTGATGTGAAGAAAATTCCTCTCTCTCATCCGAGTACTGTCGAAGAGGATGTACATTTATAAAGAATAAAGGTGGGGAGTGATGAAAAAGTAAACATTTTTGGAAGTATACTTGCATAAATTAAGATGAATATAATATTGATGCAAACATGAATTTTTCTAACATTCTGCTACAAGAATCATCTACTGCTGTAACATAAGAGACAAACTTAATCTATGATAACGTTATTCCATGTCTTTTTAAGACGCAGCTTTTTTCCTAATGTATTATGTATATTTATAGATATCACATTTATATATTGCATGTTATAACCAGATAATTGATTGTCAAGGTGTATTTCGAAACATACCGTATCCTGCTTTGGAATTTGCACCAAAACTGAAAGTAGTTGTTCTGTATCCAGGAATTTTGAGATAACTGTAAAACAAAAGTAAACACATCAGAAAATGAACTGAAATTGTAATAAAATCTATATTTTTTTAATGCACACAATTATTTAGTGATACTAATGCTAATCTTTTTCTTACATGCTATCTTCATCAATTATTTACAGGGTAAAAACTAGGTTAAAAATAGCTGCTATCTAAATTATTTTGTCGTAACTACATTTACTATACCTAAGCAGGTAGTGATCACTACATAAGTAGACATTCGTCAATTCAGAAATATTCTTTTTCTTAGACTGAATCATATTTCACAGATTAAGATTACATGATCCAGCTTCAGGTGGACTAACTCATACTCTGGCATTGTATTTTACATTTTTCTGGATCCCTATGTTTTATGAAGCAACAGGAAAAAAATATGTATACACAAGTATAACTTCAGCAGTGTCTTTATTTGTTTAATGTGTAATTTATGTACACTTGTATACATCAAACACAGTGCATACCTAGCCACAGAGGTAGAGACAAACTCCAGTTCTTCGAAAAAGCTATGGGCTCACTGACCTCTACACACTTCATCAGAGAAATTCACTTTTCTTAACAAAATACTTGAGAAAAATATCACATCTATGATATTACAGATTACTTCAAAAAATTAAGTGTCTACTATGTCACCTAACAGAGCATTAAAAAGATACTTTTCAAACATATTGAGTCACATTACATACTTCCCCATATTAGAAAAAATGTTTAACAAGAAATATAATATTAGGTATTAAAAAATAAACTACTACCTGCTTGAAGACCGAAAAAGAGCTCCTCATCCTGGAGTAATTCCTGAACACAGTCCAGTCTCATGTTAATTGTTTCAGCATCAACCAGAGGTTCCAGGATATTGGACCTAAGTCTTCGACTTCCACCAGGAGTTTTAGTGTAATTTAGGATCCCAAAAAGTGTGTGACCATTCCTTTGAAAATAAAATAGATTTGAAGAATACACCCACCAAAAAAAAAGATGGTAAATGTCAAGTCACATTTTCAGGTAAAGAGTATCCTACAAATTGGAGGCGTGTTTTTGGGATGCTCAGCATCTTCCTGTTTGCCACACATATTATATGAACTACAGCAGCTTAGCAAGTCAGATAATGTAATTTAATATAATATTAGCCCTCAATTATATAATTTTCCAAAGTCTAGAAATACATTTCTACTTAGTATTTTCCTCATTTTTTGTAGTAGTATTTCTCTGTCCAAATATGTTTTTTAAATGCTCTGAATGGTATATAAATTCTTTCATACAGAAATAAATGTAATTGTCAGCTCTTTGACACAAATGTCAAGGAAACTTAGTGAAATACAACTTTATAAAAACATAACTTGCAAAAATATTCTTACCGAGAATCTCTGTTATTAATTACTAGTTCAAGATTTTGTGCTGACGATGAATCTATCATAGCTGTTTTCTCACTCCCCTGGAAACGCACCTTGAGTGATTTAGGAGCATAAACGGAATTTTGAATAAATTCAACATATTTTAGCAAAGCTGAAGCAGCTGCAAGACAGTAATACCTAGGAAAGAAACAATTTTTAATGAACGTTGAATACTGCTATTGAAGTATCATAAAAGCCATGCACGACAGAAATAACATTCACACTTCTGCTTGACAACTACTGGGATTAATAGCACTGAAAAAGCAGTATATTTCAAACATGCACTAACACATGTGCAGTGAACATATATATTCTTTCAAATCAAATATTCATGAATGTTTGAGCCTCTGTACGCTCTACACTGTATAGCTGGTATTGTGAACATAACATATTTCAGTAGTTATATGCGACTTTAAGACCCTGGTCACCAAGTATCACTACCTAAAATTGTTGATACACGGAAAACATTTGCTGAAGCCAGAAAAAAAGGCAATCATAGCTCTTCAAATTTATCTCTAAGGGAAGAATGGAAAGGACAAAGTGGAAAGCTGTGGAAACTCAAAAAACCACGCAACTCTACAACAGGCTTTCTATTAAGGTTTCTAGATATACCAGAAACACCAGATGGCACAACAGAAGGACAGCTCTGCAATGATTTTCTAACTTTTGCAACAAGACAAAGGCTCATGTAGTGAGAACGTAAAAAGTTGTTAAAAACTTATCTGGACACAGTATGCTTTTCCTTATTTAAACATACTTTGATTGAACCTCCATGAAAACGGTGCTAAATTCAGATGCACACAATTGTTCTATGTATTCCAAACCCCTTGTTTCATTGAAGTATTTTCTTTGGACAGTTGTAAAAGTCACATTCTGTGAAGACGGGGATGAAAGTAAATAGTTTTAAAAGTTACATCAGACAGACTTCTCTATTTTTCTAGTGATACGTATTCCTAAGAAATCTATCAACTGATTCTGCAATGTGTCTTCACACAAGTGTTCACCCGAGCTCACTTGCAGAGGCAGGTCAGTGTAACTCAACACAGATACACCAGTGATTTATGAGCAAAAAGGAGGAGAGAGGTTAGAAGTAGAAGAGGACTCATGAAGAGGCCATCAGCTCTGTAGGCATGAAGTAATTCAGGCAGTAATTACTACAGGTAATTATAAAGGTTCTGAGGCTTTAAAACTCATAAATTACATATATTAGGGTCATCTCACTGGCTTTTACCCTGCCAATGCTCTTTTTCCAATTCTCTGATACGTCAGCCCCATGGATTTATCAGGTTGAGAGAAGAAGGGAGAAGCAAAAGAAAATGCTGGGGTTTTGTTTAATTTCTGAATCTTTCCTAGGTTCGGTATTACTCAAATTACCCAATGCCACAAATTCAGAACTTTCAGCTTTAATCAGTAATATACTTGTGTCTTTAACTGTCAGGATTAGAAGTAGCAGTGTGGGAGCTGCATTTTGATTATTCTTTGCCATGGTAAAATTAGACCCAAAAATCAAAGAAAACAAAATCTGTCTGCATTTAACATTTTAAAAGTTGTCCAAAACTCTCAAATCAACAATCATATAAAAATGACCAACAAAAACCCTAAAACATGGAATGAAATTTAAGATCTCACCTTGAAATGCTCTGTAATCAGACTGAACAGTTTTGTTGTGTTCCCTGCATCACAAGCAGTGTTTGACATTATTATTTCTAATGGTGTTAAAATCTTGAGTTTAGTAATAACCTGAACAAAAAATAACAAACCATAAATAATCTAAAATATTTTAGACAATAAAGAACCAGCAATAACAAATTACAGAACCCTAATATTTTAAAATCAGTTCCAGTCTTGCAAATGAAGACCAAATTTTCTGCTAACTTCTACACTGAGTCAAATTCATATGTATCTATATATACATAAAACTAAATTTAAAAAAGAAGCCAAACAAACAAAAAATAGAGCTTATCCCCCATTATTTAAACAGAGAATCATATCTACCATTGAAACAAGAGACAAATATCCAAAACTATATTCCATGGCTATGATGGGAGGATGACTTATTTCAAGAGATGGCAGCTTTCTGGGCTTGCAGCTGAAAGGTTAATGGTGCTCTGGAAGATGAAGCAATGCAACAGGTCTGAATACTATTACTCTTTTGATTGAGACTCGTTTTAGATTTTGTTCTAACCTCCTCTTGTAACATTGATATCAGTCTTAATATGGCTAAAAATGTGCATATTTAAACCAACTTTATGTTACACACTTCCCGTAGGGATTTGAAGTAGATTACGTGCTCTTCTATTTTTTACTGTGTAAGAAAGGACAAACATCATTATGCATTTATGTTCACTTATACCAGCATGCACAAATTCTCAGGGGACAAATATAAAAAACCAGACTGTATTTTAAGTGCTTAGAAGTTAAGATCTGAAAGAAGGGAGAGATGATGTCCCAATGGAAAGGTGAACAAGGTGAAAAATACACAAAATAAATCACCTAAGGGTATTTGGGGTGGGAGAGCTGTCACTGCCCTTCATGTCTCCTAGTAATTGGGAAGTTTATTTTCAGAGATGCAACAGTTTAAAACAAATATTGAAGAATTTAAAGAATACAACAAAACTTCACTGAATTAATTTTCAGAACATTTAAAAATAAAAGGGTGCACAAGAAAGAGAAAATACAGCTGGATACGAATCACTAGCAAAACATGGATTCTGACAGTGTAAGAAAACAGCTGATCAGCAGATAGACATCATTAAAGTGTGTTAGTATTGTTAAAGGTGTTATTGTAGCATGCTATCAATTAGTATTGATAGTATTGTTAAACATGTTAGAGATTGAGGCAAGAAATTAGGCTGTGTAGTGCATTTGGGAAAAAGCAGTTGTAGAGCAGCATCTCTTTTTTTTTGACTGGATGGTGAATACAGTACCAGGTATGTGCACAGAATGGAGAACTCAGTGATCTAAATGAAAAATTAAGTACATATCTCTACAAATAAAAATGCCAGCTTTTACAATGGTAAGACAGGACAACAGTGAACAATCTGGCCACGGCCTGACAGGTTGTCATAGAAGATGATAACTTACCAAGAAGAGAGTCATGTTATCAGAGTTTAAAGAGAAGGTATGAAAGACTTCTGAGAAGTAATTGCATTTTATCATTAAATTCAAGACAAACCCAAAAGTAGAGGGATAGGGAAAGAGTTTGGGCAGCTAAAATACTTCTCAGTTTGGAAAAGATAAATTTCATGGACAATAACAGTTCTTAACCCTGAGAGAGTAGAACAGGGGAAACTCTGGACCACAAACATAGGTACTGCTTGCTAAAAAGAGCCTTTTACTCTTTGAAGTAACTGCAATTATGAAATCATTAGTAAAATTAGAAAACCATTTACATAAAAATAATCTGACATTTCCTTGCAGAATTCTAGTCTTATTCTTTTGATTAGAAGATTTTTTCCTACTAACAAGCAAATCAATTTTTCTTTTTTAAACCTCTAAGTGAATTGTTATTTAAGTTGCCACATGATCATCTGAATGTCTACATTTTCTCAAGCAATCTCATAGCTGAGTCATAGCTATTTACTTTCCTTTACTTTGTTTCTTTGAATATTGCAAAGATGCTACAAGCCACATTATTTTCTAGCATGTGTAACTACAACAAAAACATTACATTAGATGTTTCATTAATGCTCCTGCATAAACCACAGAGACTACTCTCCAAATTAATGTAGAATATGCAGTGCTGGTAAGCAGAACACTTGGCTGTAAATTGAGTGAATTTCATTTCAAACTGAGAAGGAATATTTCTGCAACCAAAGCCAGCCCTGTAATTACTCTACCACACACACACATTTATGCAGTTCAGTTCTCAGAGCTCTTTTGCCTGACGAAAAATATTTTCAAGTTCTACTACCATACATCGCCCAATGCTCTTCAAAGCAAGGCATCTCACTCCCATATACAAGTGTATTTTGCAAAAACATTCTTTCCTCTCTAAAATTGAGGCACAGTAAAGAAACTAGAACTTGTTGTTTCTAGAACTTGTTACCTTCATTTTTGAGAAATCTCTTCCACAAGCTAGACATTTAATTTCCCTTTAGTCATAATAATTAAGTCACAATAATTAGACTACAAAATACCTTGGCATAAGTTGTATTGTCTGCAAATTGTGATAATATCATCTCAGGATTTTTTAAGTCAATACTGGCCATTCCGACTTCACCTCTGGCAAGGCCTCTTCCTTCTACTACAGCTACAATAACTGATGCAACACTATGAGCAGAGACTGCAGATGAGGATGTAACTGTAAAACAGTCGCATATATTCAGTTACAGTCAATACAGATCAATGCAAGATTGATCAAGGAGCATCACAAACAATAGACCAAGAATAAACAAATACAGACACAGGTAGGCTTCAGGAACACTGAAGACTGAACTCGTAATCATCAGTCAGACTGTGAAATAACTCACTTTAAATCCCACTACTTTTGCACAGCACACAGGTACACATAACATGGCACAAGGCATCATTATCCTGGAACACAACTTTGTTCATACAAAGCACTGCAAGATGTACCCCCAATGAGCTACTGTGTAAGTGTTCTGAAGAACTAGTGTTCTACACCTCCGAAGATGCCAACATAAAATGCATAAAACTTGCATCAAGAAATTTGAGAATTATATTGTATGTGATGTCCAATGCATTACAAGCCTAAAAAGATGCCCCAATTAAAGATTTGCCTGAATTTGGGCTCTTCAGTTTTAGTGACCTCATGTCAACTGACATGTCCACACATATAATTACATTTTGGGCAATCTCAAAAAAGTCTGAATTCTAACTACATTGATAATTCATACATGAATGCAAAGCAAGTGACAAGAGGATGCAAAACCAAAACACCTCCTCAGTATCTAAAGTAGTATTTTCCTGTTGGTGTACTGTTCATTGCCAGCATCCTCTGTAGTACAAAACACAGTCTGTGTTGTGTTTTGAAATGTATTTCAACGTATTTCAGTATCTTAACACATCAAAAAATTAAACTGTACTTAACAAAATAACATAAGAAATGTAAGTAGGATTATTCCCTGTAAGAACTGTTAGTCTTACCAGAATATCCCATAAGAGGGGTATGGCTTCTGCAAACAGATCTACTGGAAGAGAGGGGTGTTTTTCCAATACGTGTGCTATTCAGGCCTCGCACAGAAGAAGAAGTTGTGAGATTCAGCGTGTTAGCATTTTCTACACAAGAACTTTTGTCCCCAAAATATGATTCTGAGGGAGGGAGAAAGAAGTGAGTTACAAAAAAAGACACAAGTTTTTATTCAGAAAATAATATACAAATATACAGCTTACAAAACTTCATTTTTCTTAGTAGAAATATCGCGGCAAAATGTCATTCTATAAAAGCTCTCCAGAGTACAAAATGAAATTAAAAAATCAGAGTGTTTTGAAAACAAGCTTGCATTAATATGATTATTTTCTACAAGGGCATTACTTGCAAAGGCAATAAAAATCTAATAGTTTACATTGCTGGACCGAAATAAGTTAACAATTTCATATTCTAATGAATTCTAGATTTATGAAAGAATGCTATGTCAGCTTTATGTCGCATTTGCCTGTCAGCTTTAAAATCATTATCCAAAATCACACATTTATGAAAACCTTTTTTTTTTAAAAGCTGAGCATTCCTTTCAAAAAACAGAGAAATAAAAGAAAGTAAAGAATCACTTAAGCATGATCTCCCTTTGAATCTATGGGGATCAATTCTCACAAATCACACAATAATCTGGGATATATTTTTTAACAGTAGTTTCTTTTACACATGTATTTAAGATCTATCTACATTTTTAAGTCCTGCAAAATATCTTTGTCTCAGAACACTAAATTTCTAAAAATTATTTAAATCATTTACTTGTTTTCAATTCTCAAGATGACTGAAAACATCATATCCTTAATCAAGTTTAGATAATTGCTTTTTAACATAAAAAAATGAATGAAAATATAAACAGTTGTTCCACTTAACACTTACAAAATTCCAGGTATTAAAAGACAGGTAAACTCAAATGTCTCTGTGCCTTACACTACATTAAAAACTGATAAGCAAGACAAAATACGTCAGTATTCTTCTCAGATGACCCTTTAACCGCACGAGTCTTTATCATGGTCAGCTGGCACAAAAATATTTATAGTATTGGGGTTTGTTTGGGGTTTTTTGTTCATTTTTTTAATCTTAAACTGTAACAGTTGATAAAAATATTAGTTCAGACTGGTTGGGGTTTTTTTTTAGTGGACAAATCAGCATTGCAATGCATACAGATGATTTTTAAAAATAGTATTCACTTAAGATTTTGACATAAGTTCTCTCAGAAGTTTGGCAGAAGAGACTTCACTCTCAGAAGGTCCTGAATCTCGCATAACATGGGGAAAACTGTAATTTTAAGACCAGATGTACCAAGCCATACATATATATTTCTTAAAACCAACATTTAAGTTATGCCCTATTGAAATTAGCATTCTAATTTGAGGATTTTAGGTTTTTTTAGGATTCCTCAGTAATCATGTACATTATCCAAAAACCATTTTTCTTACTTTCCAATTTACGTATAATGGAGATATATATACTTCAGAATGGATTTCAGTAAATGTTAAAATAATTTTTTCTGCCTGCCAAGATACAGACTTTGATAGTAGTACCAAGTCCTGTGACCGACCTACTGATGCACAAATCTTCCTTATGTGGTTGTTGAGGTGTCTCGTCCTCGGGAGCAGCAGTCTGGTGTTAAAAGCAGCTTTATGTAAAGTATGGCAAATACAAAATGTAGGACCATAATGTTCTTACCACACATCAAGGATGACAAGCGCTTAAAAATACTTCAGAGGTCAGGAAAAAAAAAACCAAAACAACACAAAACCAAAAACCACCAACAAAAGCACCGAAACAACCAACAAACCAAACGCAAACCCAAAACCCACCAACTGAACGTGGTTCAAAGTCTCTCCTGTGAAGCAAATACTGTGCAGCAATTCAAACCAGTTTATTGATCCCACCAGGGAACCCAGATACTACTATCCAAAGAAAGTAAGAGATTTATTTACAGAAATGCTAACGAATTCCATCGTTCTGGCAGGCTAAATGAAAAAAAAGTCGCTAAGACGGTGGGTTGCTGCTGGCCCCTCTCAGTAAGCACCGCTTGTAACAGCTCTTGCGGAACCAGACCCAAGCACAGGGGGCAGGAGGATAAAGAAGGAGATCGAGACCCGTGCACAGACCACACCGCACCTCCTCTATCGGAAACTGCCGCCTTCGCCCCGCTGCTCCCGGCGGCGAGCCCGGGAGCGAGGCCTTCCCCGCTGGAGTTGCCCGGCCGCGCCGCGCCGCCTGAGGAGCCGCCGGTGCTGTCCGAGCTGCGCGGCGTCTGCAGCAGCCCCAGGGTGTAGCGGGGCGTCCGCTCCGCCCGACCGACCGCGCGCGGCGTGGAGGAGCCGAGGCTCAGGCAGGACACCGAGAGGGCCGACGCGGCCCCAGGCCCGCCCGCGCCCGCCATGGGCGACCCCTCAGCGCCGACCCCGCCCCGCGCCCCGAATGGCGGCACCGGGAGCCGCCGGGACCGCCCTTGCTCGGAGCGGCGGCACCGAGACCCGCCGGGTCGGGATGGGCGCCCGGCCGGGTCAAAGAAAGGAAGTTATCGAGGTGCAGCTATAAATGATACAGCAGTAAGCAGAGCTGCTGGCCGTGCAGCGGGTTTCATTATAGATAGGCAAGGAGCAGAGGAACGCGAGGAAAGGGCCTGCTATGCTCTTTCCAGCAGGAGTACTGCATTTAAACATAATTTGTCCCGCATTAATTCTTCACCATTCAAACTGTTTCAGCGGGAGCTTCACAGATGTCTTCCTCCTGCTCAAGAGTTTTGGTACAAAAAGATCCCCATAATAACCACAAAGCTTGTTTACCTGTGCAATTGTCTTAAAACATGTGCTTCTTTCTAGGCATGTTTCAGAACACTAACACTACTTTGTATATTAGCATGTAATATACACCACTAAAACTGTTTCAATTAACATTTTCGCTAGGCACTATTCTGTCTCTGGCATTTAATACACCTGCATTATAAAACACTCCAAACTGAAGCCAGCCACAACTCCTTGTGGACAAAAGCAGTTTGATGACTATTCAGCTTCACAACAGCAACTCCATCAGGTGCAGCTCCTCAGTTGGCATCTGAAAGATATTGGCCCCCTCCTACCCGTTCAGAACAGGCATGCAGTCCCTCAGCACTGAGCATTGCCATCAGACAACTTTAAAAATTTCAACATCAGAAACTCTCACTGCAGAGCAAAGTATGGAAGACAGCAGGTGACAATTCCAGTTACTGTCACTGTCCTGAAGTCCTCCATTGAACTTTCCATATGCATTCTGACTCCTGCAGCTGGAGTTAGACATCCTCTTCTCTGACAGAAATCCAAATATATGGCAAAAAATGCAGAAACAAAAGGAAGGTCCATCTTTCACCTTTCCTTCCTTTTACATAGTCAGAAATCATGAAGCTAAATTCACCTAACCAAGCTGTCTCAACAAAACCTATAAGAAGCACATTTGGAATAAAGCATATACCTCTGGACTTGACCATGTAGAAGGTAACAGAATGGCTGTTGATTTCCCCACATGTAAACAGAGCTACTCTTTTAATTAACATACCTTTAGACACACAATTTTATGTACCTGAATTAGTCACTATTCTTTCACAAATTCTCATACAGAATCTTTCAAAATTTATTGCTGGGAATGTTGGCTACACTACAGTACCTAGGATTAAGATCTTTCCATATAAAGATTTCAATGGAAAAAAAGTTATGAAAGTACACTTTCCGAAAACCTTTAATAAAGGACCTGTAACTGAAGACTGAGAACGGTAGATTAATTACTGCAAAGTTTCTAACTAGATAAGCTCAGAAAAAAATCTTAGCAGTATTTTTAACAAAATAGAGGTAGATGGTAACAATGCACCAAAATGACATAAGTCTTAACATAGACACAATCAGCAATTAATTTTTTTCACAGTACATTTAACGAAAAATGTGAGTTTGTTTGTGTAAGAGAAGTTGTGATGATTCTCTTTTTAGAAATACAATACCTAAAGAATTGATGTAAAAAATGGAAGAACCTTCTTAAGAAAAGAAGTGGCACTTGCAAAGGTAACCTGGAATGAAAAAAAACTTATTTAAAAATTTTATGTTAACCTTTACAGTTAAGATAAAACCTGACTGGTGGTCTCATTCCCTTACAGTCAAAACTAAGCCTATTGTAACATTGTTCCGAATCTTGAAAAATAAATTAATTCCAGGCTTTGACCAAAGAATTCATCAAGCAACTGGGCAACCAAAAAGAGTAGAGATTTTACCTTAGCTAAAAGCCTGTAGAAAGGCTTTAAAAATTCATTAGAAATACCTGAGCATTTGAATTCACTTTCTGTCTTTGAAATTCACTAGAAGTAAAAGTCTATGAAAAAGTGACTCTGTCGAGTTCAGCTTTCTCTCTACTAATACAGACAGGCTGGATGAAACCAACCAGCTGGCTCTTAAAACTGTGTTGGAAACAATTTTAGGCCTTTGTTAAGCATAATTACAGAGATTATCAAACACTTCCTCCCCTTCAAAATTACCTTTTACTGTATATTGCAACTAGACTACCATTCAGTCTCAGCCAAGATTTGTGGAATGTAAATTAAGAGGCAATTTTAGGACTTCTGTGAAGACAAAGAGGACTTCATCCTTCAGCAAACAAGTATTTTCCATGGCTAGTTTTATTTTCAATTACACCATAATCAAGTGTTGGTAATTATTGTTTTAAAAGCTACAAAAGCAGGATTTCAACCCAGCAACAAATTTAGAATCAACTCTGTATTCAATTACAAGTCACTGTCCTGTACAGGCCTTCTCTAGAATACTTAATGTTAGCAACTTTCACTCTGTATACTCAAGATGTGCTGTATGTCAAATATCAGTGGAATTTTGTCTAAGGGACTCATCAATAAATGAAGACATTTATATACTTAGAAGAACCATAATTATGGTTTTACTCGTATCAATTACTATCAGAAGAAGCAGCTTGTTTCTCAGTATAGAAAACTGATGGTAAGCATGAACAGGAAGAATTAAATACACAAGTGTGTGGCATTAAGTGCATGGCTTAAGTAGGATTTTGTTGGTTGTGTTGGTTTTTTTTTTTCAATCTTCTTTTAAAGTGCTGTGTGTGATCCACCATCAAACGAGGCAGGCCTGTGTAAAGACCAGTGTTAGCATGGCTGATATCACAGTAACACAAAAATTAGGCATTCACACAATCAAGCTTTGATTTAAATATTTAAAAAAAAAAAGCCAAGGCCCATACATTTAGATACAGATTGGAAATGTTTCTACATCTCTTATAATATAATCAAAGACCATGTTACACTTAGATTATGAGAACCGGCCTGTTCTGATACAATTTACAAAGTGACAAAGCCCACAGCAAAGCTATTGCTTTACTTCTATAATGTAAACACATCTCAAGGAAGAATATGCTGACAGTTTCACAAATGAGATTATAAATTAGTAAAACCGAAGCAACTGGTCATATCAACCTTTTGTCTCTACAAGGCTTAGCTCACAAGCTCAGGTTGTACATTTATTCTTCGAAGGACATCTTCTGGCATACAAAAGACAGGATTGACGGCCTTAATTTGTTCTTCTCCTAATAAAGATAGTCCAGCAATTCCAAATAAGGTGTGAAATGGATCCACCTGGGAGAAAAAAGAAAATTTACGTCCATTTCCAAAGTCAACCACTTTTTCACTTGTACAGAATGAAGCTTTTGTTTGCAAGAGAACTGCAAATCTCCATGGCTGGGGAAGACAACACAACCGAACAAACATTTGTGCTAACATGTGTGACAGGTGAGACAATTTCCATAGTGTGCATTTACAATACTATGGTTTACTCAGAGATGTTGTCAATTATCTCCTGCTAAGATGATTTTCAACTCTGAGTTAGACAGAAAACATTCACATATGTCCATTGGCATGCAATATCACAGGGTGGCAGAAGCAAAGATAATTAGAATTTTAAAAGTAAATTTGATCATCTACAAGTACTGCTTCCATAAATCCCCCGTTTGTTCTTCAGGAACATCATAATGCTCTTTAATCATCTCCAAATACAGAGCTGTGCTATAAAATCTTGGGAGGAAAGCAGCAACCTACTTTGCTAGAAAACCTCCCCAAACTATAAATAAAACAGAAACTCCCCAAACTTGCACTCCCAAAACTACAAGACGCCCCCCCTAGAACTGCCAAACTAACAAACAACCTAAACACAAAAGCCCCCAAAACAGGGTCTGTTAGGAGTGAGTGTCTGCAGTAATAAATCAACATTTCCATGAGAGTGCCAATTTCAGCAATAGAGGTAAAAATAATATGAAATTACTGCTAATATAGCATGCCAAAACCTCTCCCAAAGGTGCTCGCATTAGATACAGGTAAAAGGTTCTGCAAAGTTGCTCTTCCAGGAAGTCACAAATATTTCAATAGCTCAAATTTAATCTCCAAGCCAGAAAAATATTTAGATTTTAAGTGCTGGACTTCTCTTTGAGAATTCTGAAAAGGGAAAATGTCCTTCTGTGAGCTCCTTAGAAATACAAAATCCTTTCCATTTTAAGAACACAAAAACTCTTTCCAAATGACAGACTAAAGAGATTTCTCCCCCAACTGGGAATAAAGTATCAGCTTGCAAGGAAAAATAAAGCACCTTATTTTTTAATGCATTTGTGGAGAATGGAGCAGACATGGACAGCTGCAATAAAAACAGCTAAGGCTTTCCCAGACCGTTAATAAATAAGCAGCCAAGTGCTCTACAGGAATTGCAATGATGTCTCATAATACTTTTTACTTTATCTGTTCAGCACCCTTGAAAGATAGGAACCTTATGTGCCAGTTTACCTGGACAATCTCAATTACTTCCACTTGAAACCAGAAGGAACAGACTAGCTAAATCATAATTGCCTCTCAACCAAGCAGAAAATCTATACCACCAGCCTCTTCATACTGCTATCACAAAAGCTTCTTCCTCCCTCACCTGGCCAAATGCCAGTGAAAGAATTTATTCAGTGGCTGGGCTGGCACAGAACAAAAGTTAGCATACAGAGATTTTTGATAAAAACTTATGACTCATTTAGATCAGATAAAACCACCATTCTTTAGCTTGCATATCATTTCACAAAACAAAATAATAAACACAAAAAACCCACACATCCCAAAAAACCCACCACCAAACATTGTTTTTACATAGATCTTCCAAGTGGTCTTGTGAGAAATTATTTGTATTTCATGTGTTATGAGAACCAAACCAGAAATTGTAGAAAATGGCAACTGATTTTAGAGGGGGATAGAAGTGCAATGTAGAATATCTGCTTCCCAAGTATGCCTTCAAAGGCAATTCTAACCCATTCTTTCTTCAAAGTAATTGTAATGTCTGGAAAACCTACCTGGATCATGAGTTGAGTTACACACAA